CGCGGTGAGTTTGACCTCTGCGAGCAATTCCGATGTGAGCTTGACGAGCGCCGGTACGGGTGATATCCTGTTGACATCGACGGACGACATCACGCTCGACGCTGCCGATGATGTGACGATCGATGCCGCCGGTGTTTTGTCTTTGGCGCAGGGCGGGACGAGCATTTTGAGCTGGACGGACGCTGGCGCTGTGACTTTGAGCGCGAAGAGCGGCCAGGATCTGACGCTGAGCGGCGATGACGTGGTGCTTAAATCAGAGGCGTCGTCGACGCTCGCTCTGAAGCAGGACTCGACGAGCATCCTGAGCTGGGACGCGAGCGGCGCTGTGACTTTGAACTCCGTGAGCGGGCAGGACCTGACGCTGAGCACGGGTGGTAGCGCGCGCGTGACCGTGGACTCGACGGGTCAGGTGGGCATCGGGAAGACGAATCCGAGCTACGATCTGGACGTGACGGGAACATCTCGTATAACAAGTAATTTGAACGTCGAAGGCACCTTGAATTTTCCAATTTCAGAAACGGTCGCCGTGGGCACAAAAATAAACTTGAATAGTGCTGGCACGCTCACCATTGGAACTACGTCGCGGAACAATTCACTTGGCACCCCACAATACTACAATCAGTATACGGCGATTTGGGGTCACTTGTTCATGGCCGGTACCACGGAGCTCGTCAGATTGACTGCCGACGGGCGTCTCGGCATCGGCCTAGCGCCCGAAAAAAACCTTGACGTACAAGGCGAAGGCAGAGTATCTGGCGCTTTCACCGTGGGAGGCGCGCTATCCAAATCGAGTGGCTCTTTCAAGATCGATCACCCGCTCCCCGAGATGAGCCACACGCACGATTTGTATCACTCCTTCATTGAGGGACCGAGAGCGGATCTCATCTACAGGGGCAAGGTTCGTTTACAGAACGGCAGAGCTACGATTAACATCGACGCTGCGTCGAATATGACGTTCGGCACGTTTGAAGCGCTCAATCGCGACGTCCAATCGTTCACGTCAAATGAGAGCGACTGGGACCCCGTACGAGGCTCCGTCGTCGGCAACGTCCTCACCATCGAGTGTCAGAACCCGATGTCGACGGCGCTCATCAGTTGGATGGTCATCGGCGAGCGTCATGATCAACACATGTATGATACGGAGTGGACCGATGAGAACGGTCGCGTCGTCCCGGAACAATTAAAAAAGAGTGCGACGACGTGAACGTGCGTCAGTGTACACGCGTGAGAAACGAATTGCCAAAACTCCCGTTGGAAATACATACGGACGATCGACGGCAACAAATTATGTTTGATTATGCAGCATCTGTATTGTGTGATGATAATTTAGATTCATCTACTCTACGCCACCGGTTCGAGCGCGCGTCTCGATCACGCGTGCGACGCAAAGAGTTGCGCGAAAACGCGTTCCGCCCACGCCGGAATTTCCACGTCGTTGGCTTGCGTAAAATTCACGAGCGGCTCTTGGACGTGGTAACGAAGCTTGCGACCTTTGCTTGCCTTGCGGTCGACGTTCTTACGACGCTTTGTCTGTTTTACGACGGTCTGTCCATCTGTAATGCCGGCGTCGTTCCCGCTCTCGAGTAACTCTTTCAGAAGCTGCTCGTAAAAGTCAACGTCGTCGTACAGCTCCACCTCCCGCGCTTCGCCCTCATCCAATCCGTCCGCATTCACGCCCGTCTCACCATTATCATCGACGTACACATAGCGCTTCTCACCCAACCTCGCCGGGGCAGCGCGCTTCGCGGGTTGTGACTTTTCTATCAAACGCGTCGGCGCTCTCATCGTGCTCGACACCTGCTGCGATATGGACTGGTTGAAAGCTTTCAAACTCCCGCCGCTCGATGTGCCCCCAACGGAGACGGTGGATTTTCGATGCCATCGATCGCACGTTGAGTCACGATAACTCGCAAACGCTCGATATGCGGCGTCGTGCTTCCCCCAAACCTCATCGATGTCGTCCTCCACGTCCACGATTGTGGCTGCGTCCTCGAGCGTCGCGGCGACGTCGCGTATGTTGGTCATCAACGCCGTTTGCAACGCGGTAAACGCGCGCATGGCTCGTCGAGACGCCCGAGACAGACGATGCAGCGCATCACTCGCGTCAGGTGACGCACGCTTCATCCCGCGACACGCCGCGGCGGTCGGCAGTTTCGCCGCCCCGTTCACGACTTTCTGCAAGCGAATCCGCGCGTGCAAAGCTCGCTCCCAGACCACGCGCTGCGCCCGCACGGCCCGTCCCTTCGCCACGTGCTGCGCTCGCGCATCCACAAGTTTCTTTGTCTGCGCCTCCTCCTCCTGAAACGCTCGAAGCTCTCGCGCGAGCTCCGCGTCGCCGTCCGCGTCGCCGCCCAACAAGTCTCTCGCCCGCGCGCCGCGCGCGTCCAACGCATCCTCCCCCCCCCCTTCGTCTCGCTCTCCGTACCGTTCCGCAGCATCATTCCAATCTTCCTCCTCCGCACTCAGATCGCTCGCATCGCTCGCATCGCTCGCATCGCTCGAGACCACTCCTCGCGTCTCTTCCTCTCGCGCCCGCCGCGTCGTCCCGCGTCCCGCGTACGCCTCCCCATCCATCTCGATCGGGCCTCGCATGCGCAACCCCCCCCCCCCTTCCGACGCCTCGAACCACTCGTCGTCATCATCGCTCGTCGACGCCGCCCCGTCGCCCGCGCGCGCGTCCACGCCGAGCGCCGCGAGCGCGTCGCGGCGTCCCCCGTCGCCGCCGCCACCGCCCGAATGCCCGTTCGCGATCGCTCGCAAGCGCTCCATCGATCGACGCGCGCGGCGTCACGGCGGACGAAAATATCCCGCGTCGAACGCGCGCGCGGTCCGGGCGATCGCGCGCGCGCGCGCGTCGGCGTCGGCGTCCGTCGCGGGCGCGCGCGACCGCCGTCGATGGGTCGAGCGCGCATTCGGTACACACATGGCTTATATGTGCACGCGTATACGTGATTTGTGTCGTACACTGCGAGGTTTGTACCAATGTGGTGGATACCGATGCCATCGATCGCGGGATGCCGCGCATTCGGTACACACATGGCTTAGATGTGCACGCGTATACGTGATCTGTGTCGTACACTGCGAGGTGTGTACCCATGCGCGACGGGAATGCGAAAACGAATCGTGCACCGAGCGTATCGCGCGCGATCGACGACGGCGCGACGACGCACACGCGCGCGCGCGAACGCACACTCCGTGCCCCGACGCGTCAGTATGTTCGCCATGTCCGTCACGCACGCCCCCGCGCGCGCGGTCGCGAAGCCGACCGCGATGCGGACGCGAAAGAGCGCGCGATCGGCGACGATCGTCCGCGCCGAGGAGGCCAAGGCGAAGACGGAATCCGCCGCGCCCGCGGTGTGGACCGCGCCGAAGTTGGACCCGAACACGCCGTCTCCGATCTTTGGTGGTTCCACCGGGGGACTTTTGCGCAAGGCGCAGGTGCGTCGTGCGATCGATCGCGATGGACGCGGCGAGGGCGAAGGCGTGGGGGCGACATCGAGGATCGGGTCGCGGTGAAGATACGGGGTCGACCTAGGATGCGATCGGGCGGTGTGCGCGCGACGCGACGATGAGGCGTGGACGATGATGACGTGCATGCGTGGTGGAATTATTCGTTGTCGTGATTCTGTCTTCGATGGCGGCGTCGAGCGTTGCGACGAGGCGAGGGGGGGAGGAAGGTGGGCGCGTGGGCGCACCGTATCGATGGTTGAGACGTTGGTGAAGACTGCGCGAAGGATGACGTTTGGACGTGGACGTCGTTCGCGTACGGGTGAATGATGACTGACGATGTGATACGTGTCGACGAATAGGTTGAGGAGTTCTACGTGCTCACGTGGGAGGCGAAGAAGGAAGCCATTTTCGAGATGCCGGTGCGTGCGAGCGACGCGCGCGAGGACGCCGAAGGCGCGCTTTTCAAAGAGCGACACGCATCTTTGCGTTTTTTCGAAACACGAGACTGACGTGAAGCCCGCATGTTTTTCAATCGTAACAGACCGGTGGTGCCGCGATCATGCGCAAGGGCCCGAACCTTTTGAAGCTCGCGCGCAAGGAGCAGTGCCTCGCGCTCTTGAACACCTTCCGCTCCAAGATGAAGCTCGACGGTTGCATCTACCGCGTCTTCCCGTCCGGTGAGGTGCAATACTTGCACCCCAAGGATGGTGTGTACCCGGAAAAGGTTAACAAGGGTCGCGTGGGTGCCAACCAAAACATGCGCTCCATCGGTAAGAACACCAACCCGGCCAAGATTAAGTTCCAAGGCAAGTTGGGTCCGTTCGAAGTTTAGATTTCCGATCCGCGCGTTCGACGAGCGCGCAAAGAGGGCTCGCTTCGAGCTCGCGATCGAGCGCGACGCGATGTTCGTTCAGTGAAGCCACGCGATGAGTTAGTCATCGCGTTCCAAGGCACACGCGAGCGCGCGTCGTCCACGCGAGCGAGAGCGAGAACTCGCCGCCCGTCTCGTCGACTCAACCTAGCCAACTTTGCAGTGAAAGTAATCATTCAAACGACGACCCCACGCGCGCGTTCGCGTCCAATCTCACCACCCGCTCGAACACCATCACCACCGCCCTCGATCTCACGATCCATCGTCCACCGCGTCCGCCTCCGTCGTCACCGACCTCCGCGTCGCCCGCGCGTCGCGTCGCGCCGCGCCCGGAAACCATTCCCATTGAACATCGCTCGCCCCGCGGGCGTCTCTCGGGTGTGATCGACCACTGGCGATCTCACACAGACGTCACACACCCAGAATACGTCACATCCATCGATAAAAAAATCACCCCCCGTCCGTCCCGCGGATCGCCTCGTTCGCGTCCGTGACGGCCATAAACACCACCGCACTACGAGTGGGCGAAATCGCGAAATCTTATCCGCCCCCGTGATTCGCTCGCGTCCGTGTGTGGGCACACCACGAGTGATCACTCGTGGAAGAGTCCCTCTGCGGACGTCCGGTGCGTCCCGTGACGTCGCGCGCGCGTCGTCCGCACTTCCCCGCGCCCGGGACGACGACGACGACGACGACGACGACCATGCGCACGATGACGGTCTCTCAGTGCGCGTCGCGCGCGGTGTCCACGCGCGCGCGCGCGACGACGCGCGCGTCCAAGGCGAACGGACGCGCGCCGCGAACGATCGCGCGCGCCGCGGTGGACGCCGAGACGGGCATCGCGAAGATGCGGGACGGGATCAAGGAGGCGGCGCGGGAGAACTTGTTGACCCCGCGGTTTTACACCACGGATTTCGATGAGATGGAACGCTTGTTCAGCACGGAGATCAACCCGAATCTGGATGAGACGGAGATCGAAGCGATCTTGAATGAATTCCGCGAGGACTTTAACCAGAAGCACTTCGTGCGAAACGATGAGTTCAAGGCGGCGGCGGATTCGATCAAGGGTGAACCGCGCAGAATTTTCATCGAGTTCTTGGAGCGATCGTGCACCGCGGAATTTAGCGGGTTTTTGCTGTACAAGGAGCTGGGGCGACGCATGAAGAAGACGGCGCCGGCGGTGGCGGAGATCTTCACCTTGATGTCTCGGGACGAGGCTCGTCACGCCGGTTTCTTGAACAAGGCGATGAGCGACTTTAACTTGGCTCTTGACCTCGGTTTCTTGACCAAGAACCGACAGTACACCTTCTTCCAGCCCAAGTTTATCATCTACGCGACGTACCTGTCCGAGAAGATTGGCTACTGGCGATACATCTCCATCTACCGCCACTTGCAACAGAACCCGGATGAGCAGCTCTACCCGCTCTTCAAGTACTTCGAGAACTGGTGCCAAGACGAGAACCGCCACGGCGACTTCTTCTCCGCCATCCTCAAGGCGCGCCCGGAGTTCTTGAACACCTTTGAGTCCAAGCTCTGGGCTCGCTTCTTCTGCCTCTCCGTGTACGTCACCATGTACTTGAACGACCACGGCCGCAGTGAGTTCTACGAATCTCTCGGCTTGGACACGACGCAATTCAACATGCACGTGATTCACCAAACCAACAAGACGACGGCTACGATTTTCCCGCAAGTCATCGACACCTACAACCCGGAGTTCAAGGAGCGCCTCGACCGCCTCGTGGGCGTCAACACCCAGCTTAAGGCGATCGGTCAAAGCGATGCCCCGGATGCGATGAAGAACTTGCAAAAGGCGCCGCTCTTCGCCGCCTTCGCCGCGGACTTGATCGGCTTGCTCGCGATGAAGCCGGTGGACTCTGGTTCCATCGACTTCGCGAACGCCGAGTCGGACCCGGCCTTCATGTATTAAATCCAAGATACCGTCGAGAGAGGACGGATGATTCGTTCGAGGAGGTCGCTCGCGTGTCGCACGAGCGAATAACACATTTAGCGCGCTCACGCGGCGCGGCGCTTGCGCGGCGCCTGCGGAGCGCATTTACCGCAACCATTACTTGTTACGCTCCTCGAATCGAGGTCAAGATGACGAGCGCAAAAACATCGTCGCCGGCGCGCTCGGCGCGTCGCCTTTAATATTTATGATTAAACGACGAATCAACACCATGAATCATCGCCGCCGCGCGAGCGAGCGCTCGGCTCCTAACAGAAACGCCCTCGCGCCGCCCTCGACCTCCCACACACTTCCGCGCGCGCACCCGCGCGCGCGCCGTCCGCCCGAGCGCGCCCACACACCTCTCTGCGTCATGCGCAGACTCTTTCGCGACGCTTCGTCGCTCGAACGCGACGCACGGGCGGAGAGAGACTTTAATCATCAGCTCGTGGACCAACTGCGCCTCGAGTTGGAGAACGCCGTGCACGCTCGAGACGTCGCGCTTCGGGCGTTGGCGTCGCGGGAGGGCGACGTGCGATCGCCGATCGATGCATCTGCGCGCGAGCGAGCGAGCGAGCGAGCGATATCGTCGAAGGAGACGTCGACGCGGGTGGCGGAGCCGAGCGGTTCGGGCGACGCGGCGACACGAAAGGCGCTGGAGGAATGTGAAGGCGAACGCGTGAGATTGGTGGAGGAGCTGGAAGAGATGCGCGAGCAACTGAGGGCATCGACGGCGAGCGCGCATAGGGCGAACGCGGAGACGAACGCGATGGCGCATCAGAGTCGCGGCGCGGTGGAGCGCGAGCGGAAGCGCGCCGACGCTGCGGAGGCGCGCGTGCGAGCGCTCGAGCTCGCGGCGGCTGAGATGCAGGTCGATAGGGAAGATACATATCGTCAAGCCGAAGACGAGGCGAAGAGGCGCGCGAAAGAGCTGGAGGATGCGCTCGAAACGGCGGCGACGGAGATTGAGGCACTCAAATCGACGAACGAAGTCTTGAGCGAACGCGTCAACGCGCTCACGGAGAGACTCCAGGCGAAAGACGATATGGATCAACCAGAGACGAGTAAACGATCCTACGCCGACGAGGCGGTAGTCGAGCTCCGTCGCGCGGCGCTCGGGGCCAAGGCGTTGGCGAACGCGTATCACGCGCGCTTATTCCCTGAGGGCGATCCCGAGCGCGGAAAGGGACGAGTTTTGATAATAGTGCACGCCTCGCTCGAGGGACATCCGTACTTGTCGGCAAGTCGAGACGTCACGGAAGCCGTGCGAGCGCGCGTGCGAGCGCACGACGGCAAGAGACTGGTGATATTGGTGAGCGAAGATATTTCAGAGCTCGTTCCGGATGAGGCGACGACTCTCGAGACAAGATTTGAGACTCGTGAAGTGCAGGAAACTCGACGACCGGCCATCTTGCGTGTCACCTACGCTTTCGATGCAATGGACGATGCGACCGGAATCGCGATCAAGGGCGATGAGAGATCGGTGGAGATTCCCATCGGCGCCGCAGGAACGCCGCACGCCTTTGCGATGCAGAGCCTGTGGATTGAGTCTGTTCCATCGTCCGTCGAGGACGCGCTCAAGGCGGCGTACGCGCGATTGCGAGACGCCGAAACTACAGCGAGCTCGGCGAAGGTGAAAGCGATAGAGCTGTACGGTCAGATACTTCGCGACAGGCAGCGCGCCGGATCAAGCGCCCGGGCGCGGTCGCTCGAGCGACGAGAATTGGAGCTCGAACAGCGCGAGGCGCAGCTCGCGGTGGAGGTCGCCGAGATAGAGATCGCCGTCACGCGAGCACGCGAAGAGGCCGAGGCCGTTCGTCGCGAGTCCCACCGCCTCGTCGCCGACGCCAACGCGCAGATACGCGCCAAGGATGATGAAATCGAGCGTCTTCGAGCGGTGGAGACGTCCTCGCGCAGAGCGCGCGTTCGCTCCAAATCGTGGCAGCTCTCCGAGTCCAACCGCCCTGACCGTCGCTCGTCACCCGCGAAGACGCTCGCGAGCGCCGAGGCTCGGCTGGCCAGGATCACCGCGCGCGCGCGCTCCGTCGCGGACGCGGCGTAGCTCGAGCGAAACGCCGAACTCGCGCGCGGAGTCATTCGCACCTGATCCCGACCATTTCGCCCGCGTGATACACGGCATCATTGAAACCATCCACCCGTATCATTACGTCGTGCGTCGTCTCTTCTCGCACGTTTCATTCGATCGTCGCGTCGCGTCCCGCGCGGCACTCCTCGCCTCGCCGCCGCGTCATGGACAAATCTTCCTACTACCCCGACCCCGACGCGTATCGACCCACCTACGTGCCCCCGCACGCCCAACAAGCGAACGCGCCGACGGTGGTCGTGCTCCCCGCGACGCAACAGCCGCAGCGCGTGCAAGAAGAACAGATTCCCGTCGGGTTGCCAGTGCACTCGACGCGCCCCGCGTACTTGGGGGCGACGCAAGGACACGGGACGCAGGTCATGACGTGCCCGCACTGCGGACACAGTGGGCCCGCGGACGTGGTGCGGGTGAAGGGGGCCTCGGCGTGCTTCGCGGCGATCGTGACGTTCGGGCTGAGCGCGTGTCTGTGCGGCGACTCGTTCAGCGATACGTATCATCACTGCGCGCAGTGCGACGCGGTTTTGGCCATGGCGAAGATGGCGTGAGTTTGAGCGATCGTCAAGGTCGACGATGAAACGGACGAGGGCACGGGGCGATTTTAGCTCGGGTGGACGCGCGCGCGATTCATGACCGCCAGCTGTCCTTTTGTAAAACAATACCGATAGACGTGACTGTATGCTAAGAATGGGTTCACACGAGACCGAAGAGCGAGGCCAGGGATGGGGTTGGATTGGTTTGTTGGGCGCGCAGGGCGTCGCGCTCGGCAACCGTTTCGCGAAGACGTGTCTCGAGCGCCTCGCACGCGGCGGCGCGTGACTCGGCGAGATCCTCAAGGTCCTTTATTTGCTTCTTCGTCGCCGCGCTCAGACCCGAAGGTCCGCCGAGGAAAGAAGCAAAGATGCTTCCAGTTTCAGAGGCGCGTCGTGTCTCCGAGAGCTCCTTCGTGAGGGCGTCAAGCTCGTTCTTTAGGCGTTCGTTTTGCGTCTGCAGCGTCCTGGTCGAAGTGTCCACCGCGCCGACGTGTTTCGCCATGAGCGCTTCGTTTCTCGCCGTAACCTCCTCGACAATCTTTTGATACTCAGCCTCGTTTGTCTCGTACCTAGCGAGCGCGGTTTCGAGCTCAAGCTCGAGTTCTCGCACGCGATCCTCGAGCGTGCTTGCCTTGGTGCGGAGCTCGCTCATCGCCGAATCCGTCGCAGAACTCGCAGAACTCTTGACGCGCTCGAGCTCCTCTTCAAGCGCCTTCGCTCGCACCGTGCACGCGTTCTCGGCTTTCGTCGACGCTGTCAACGCTTCGTTCGCCTTCGAGAGCTCACCCTCGAGTCTCGCGATGGCGTTCAAGCGCGCTTCGTCATCCGCTCGCAGACGCTCGACAGTTAATTTAAGTTCCTCGTTCAGCCTCTCCATCTCCATCGTCTTTGCGACGTGATCCGCGCCGAGCGTTCGCTCTTTAAGTGACACCGCCTCGTTCTGATCCTTCGCCGCGACCGCATTCTGTTTCAGCGCCGATTCGAGCGACTCTGTGAGTTCAGCGACGCGTTCCTCAAGCGCTCTCGCCCGCACCTTTGCTCGCTGTTCCTCCGTCTTCGCTTCGGTGAGCTCTTGCACGAGATTATGCTGAATCGTCGTTTGTTGCGCGATTTGTGACGAAAGAGCTCCGCTTTCTGCCTTGCGATGCGCGTCGAACTCAGCGCGCGCGGCGACGAGCTTGGCTTGGAGCTCGGCGATTTCCTGCACGCGCGCCGCCACCTCTCGCTCCGCAATGTCGCGGGAATCTCGCGCGCGCCTTTCGAATTCCTCCCTAGCCGCATTCACCGCCCGCTCGATCGCCTTCTCTCGCTCGGTCGTCTCTGCGCTCAGCGACTGTGCGAGTCTATGTGATTCTTCTCGCGCGGATTCCAGCTCGGCGCGAGCGCGACTTGCGTTCTCTAGCTCGATTCGCGTGCGCGCGAGCTCTTTGCGCAGTTCCTCCTCCCCCGCTCGCGCCTCTCTCTTCGCGTTCTCCAACTCGCTCTCGAAACGCTCTCGCATCGTCCCCTTCGCTCGATCGAGCGCGTCGTCACCGTCTCCGTACGCCTTGAGCGGCGACGCCAGCGGCGACGGCCCGCGAGACACCCCCGGTGAGTTCGCCGCGCTCGCCCGTTCGAGCTTCGCTCGTAAATCTTCCAACTTCTCTCCCAAATCGTTCGTCTCCCTACGAAGCCTCGCCGCCCGCGTCGGCGTCGTCGGCTCGCGCTCCCGCGTCGGCGCCGCCCGCCGTCCGCGCGACGCCTCCGTCTCGTCCCCACCGTACCGCATCCGTCGCCCCCGCTCCGCGTCTCGTCGCGCGCGCAATTCCTCGCTCAACAACCGTCTCGACGCCAACACGCGATCGCGCAGCGCCTCGGCCCGTCGCAACGCCTCCGCTCGCTCGCTCTCGAGCCATCGCACGTCCACGCCGTCGCCGTCGCCCCATCCGCGTCCGCGCGCCTCCATCGCGCGCGCGGCTCCCGCGTCTCCCGCGCGCGCGCGTTCGGACGGTGATAATTCTTTCCGACCGATCGACCGATCGCGTCGCGCGCGTCGACGTCGCCGAGCGCGGCGGCGCGCGATGTCGTGCGAGCGGGCGACGGGCGTTGTTCCCCTCGAGGGAAAAAGAAGATGAATCGTCTTTTTTTGCACCGAGGTGCAAAAATAGACGACCGTCGCGCGCGCGTCGGTGGTCTCATCGCGACGCCGAGACGCGGACGAACGAACGGGTGGGACGATGGTGCGGTGGACGCGCGCGGTGTTCCGCGAGCGGTACGATTCTGGGGCGATCCCGATCGCGGTGGCGCACCGAGGGGTGAACGCGGTGACGTGGCGAGCGGACCCGGGAAGTTTGGACGCGTCGACGTATCTCCCGTTATTCGTGGAGGGGATGCGAGAGACGAGGCATCCGTACAGATTGCTCGCGGTGCGAGGGGCGAGCGAGCTCTCGAGGGCGTGCGGTGAGCGGGCGTTGCTCGAGGCGCTTCCGAGGATGGTGCTCCCGCTCAAGGCGGCGCTCGAGGACGACGACCCCGCGGTGGTCGCCGTCGCCCTCGAGTTCACTCGCGAGCTCGCGAAAGGCTCCTCCGTGATCGGCGAAGCACTCGTCCCGTACTACCGCCAGCTCTTACCCGCCCTGAACGGGCTCAAGGACGTCAAGGATGTGTACGTCTCGCTCGCCGTGCTCTCCGACGCCCGCGCGTGGCGCGAGCGCCGCGGACCATCTCTCCACGCCGACGACGTCCACCACATCCACGACCTCCGTCCGGCATCACGCTCATCGCGCGTGCACGACCACCAACTCCCCGGTCGCGGCCGATCGAAGCGTTCGATCGCCGCCCTCGTCCGCGCCGCCCTCTGCGCGCTCGAAGCCTCCGGCGGCGCCGACGCCCGCGCGAACATCACCTACCTCATCCCCGCCCACGTCTCCGCCCGCGGGCGCTGAGTTCGGCATTGGCGTCGTTGTCGTCACCGCGTCCGCTCGGTGGTCCCACCGCGCGCGTCTCGAACGTCGCCGTCGGCCATCGGCCGCGTCCGCGGCGTCCGTGGCGTCGCTTCGCATCACCAGACACCGGTCGCCACGGCATCAGACAACGAGACCCCATATTTCCCCCTTCCCACGACGTCGAGGCCGCACTCACGGCCGTCGCCCCCCGAGCGCGGTCGCGCGCGCGCGTCCGTCGCGCCCGCGATGCACACGGACGCCGCCGCCGTCGCGCGCGCGCGGGCGAGCGCGGAACTCGGCGCGGGACGGGGCGCTGGGGGAGGAATCCCTCGATGTGGGCGACGGGGACGAGAGGATTCGCGACGGCGTCGAGGACGTCGTGGACGCGCGATGGCGCGACCGGGCGCGACGACGACGCCGACGGTGGTTGAGTATGGGCGGGTGATGCGTGAACGCGTGCGAGAGGCGGCGCGGCGACGGGGGCGAGAGCCGAACGCGGTGGACGAGTACGTGCTCAACGAAGCCTTGGCGGAACGGAAAATCGAAGAGGCGGTGAAGATGGAAGATTTTGAACTGGCGAAGATTTTGGTGGAGGAACGACGGAGGAAAGAGCGGGAGTTGACGCCGAGCGCGGCGTTGGCGGCGGCGTTGGCGAGACGGTTGAGGGAGCCGAATTCAGAGGAGACGGAGCTCATTTGCGCCGACGTCGTGCAGTTGGGTGATCGGAGGTTAACCCCGGCGTTGTCGCGTGCTTTGTGCGTCGTGACGGATGAGTACGAAGGTGCGGCGCAGGCGATCGAGCACGCGCTGTGGATGCTGTGGCAAAAGAGCGGGAATAGTTATTACGACGCGCGGTTGCTGGACGGCATACGAGCCATGAGCATCGTCCCGGACGGGCTCCCGATGGCGCGAGATATCTTCACGGAAATCATGGAAGCCAAGCCCGAGTTCGCAGAGGCACATAATAAGCGCGCCACGACGCTGTACCTGATGCAACTGTACGATCTGTCGATCGAAGATTGCGACAACGCGCTGACGCTGAACCCGCAGCATTTTGGCGCGCTCTCGGGGAAGGGGTTGTGCTACCTCGCGTTGCATCGGTACAAGGACGCCCTCGAGAGCTTTGATGCCGCGTTAAGAATAAATCCGAGGATGGAACACGTTCGAAGGTATCGAGAATCGCTCAAGACGATGATCGATCGGTGCGAGACGAAACAACTTCCGAATTCGGAGACTCCACATGAAGACGTGGACGAATGATTTTTTGACTTTCGATGGAGCGTCCGATCGCGTCGACGATCGAACACGCGCCACGCGTTATTACGACTACTTATACTTTATTTTCGTTGTAGATTTTGTAACTATGATTCACACTGTACGAGGAACGACGCAAGCTTTTAGTTTACTGCGATTGCAGAGCGGCGTACAGGCGCGTTCGGGCCTCTTGCAGAGGCTTTAAATCTGTCGCGAATCGTGCGCTGTACGCCCGCTTATCGACCGATGATTTCGTCTCATCACTCATGAACGCCGCGCGCTCACTCTGGAGCTGCCGAATTTTCTCCTCATTCGCGTTGAAGGCCTCGACGGAAGCCGACTCGCCGTCTCTCAGCGATAGACTCAAATACTTTGAGCTTAGTCGGTTAGGATTGTATAGCTGTTCGGGAGCCTCACCGATCGACAGCGCCTTGTGAATCGGTTTATCTTCTGGTGATGGACCCAAATATAACCCAAAAGCGTCTTCACGAGGCGTCACCTCGCTCGCGCACTCGCCGTCGTCCCACCACGTCTTGACGTCGCGGGCGGTGAACACGCCAGCCGGCGCAGACTCGAGCGCGCTCTTCTCGCGCTTCATCAAAGCGTTTTCATCACCGAAATCGTCTGAGTACGAATCCTCCTCACCGCCTCGGGCGACTTTCCACACGTTCATCTGTCCGTCCTCTCCACCTGTGACGACCATCCACGGCGACGTAGCCGTCAAGCGCTCGCTCGCGTCGAGCGACATCGGTAACGGACTCCAACCGACGTGCGTCACTGCGTTGGATTCACTCGCGCGCCAGCAGGATGTCGCCTCGAGCGTATCGCTGTCGTGAATACGTAAGTGACCATCTCTCGTGGAAACGGCTATGAGACCGCCCATGGGAGAGTGTGCGACGGCGAGAGGCGCGCCCGAGCGCTTGACGTCAACTCCTCGCGATTCGCCGAGCGATCCAGCGTAATCACCATTCGCGAGAATCGTCTTCCCCGCCCCGCTCGGAGACGCCCTGATGGACCACACGCGCAACACGCCGTCGTCACATCCCGTCACCGCGATGTTTCGCGATCCAGGATGCGGATGCCAAGAGAAGGCGGTGATTCGACTCGAGTGCGCGTCGTACCACTTGCATAGACGCCCGCTCACCGAGCTCCACACGAGCATTCTGTTCGTCGACATGATTGCGGATGCGGACGCGCTGGATGAAGTCGATGTCACTATGAGCCGTCCGCACGAGAGGTAGTTGACGTCGATGACGGCGCCAGAACCCTTCCATCGAAGCGTGTGGAGACACTCACCCGCGGTCTCCGTCGCCTCAGCGACGAGATCCCAAACGCGGCCGTCTCCGTCGAGCGATCCCGTGGTGAGCTGATTTCGACCGCGGACGGGATGAAACGCCAAACTTGTGATTCCACGCTTGTGTGCGTTCAGACCGGCGGGGACGGCGAGGTCTAACGTGGCGTGCGTCGCGTCCCACACGCACAGCGACCCATCGCTCGCGCCGACGGCAATAAACTCACCCGTCCGATCGAAATCAACCGCCGTGACGTCGACTGACTCGGGAAGTCCAACGAGTTCTATCGAATCAGTCGTCTTTGCCTCTGGTTTTCCATCGAGCGAGAGATGAAATCGCCAAATCCCCACAAAACCGGCTTGGCCGATGACGACGAGCGAACCGTCGCCCTCTGGTGACCATTTCAAGCTCGTCACTCTCACCGGGAGCTTCACCGAGCGCACACACTCGCCATGCGGTACGCTGAATACTTTTAAATAGTTATCCTCACCTATCGTCGCCACGTATGCGTTCGCAGGAATCGTGACGTCTCTCTCCGCGTCCAGACGCGAAGGCGGTGCCATGGCCAACGCGACGACCCGTCCTCGATGCGCCAGAACAGAAGCCATTCGATCTTGCCTCGCCATCGCTTCCTCGACACGACGTAGACCGTCCGCAAATTCTCGCTCGAGGTCGTGGCTCGCATCGTCGTCCGCATTCCCTCTCATCGCTCGCTCTGATTGCTCTCGATACAGCTCGGCGGCGCGAGACCACGCGCCGAGCCCCTCCAGCGCCCGGCCCTTGAGTGCGTACGACGGTCCCCAGAGCGGTCGCGCCGCTATGACGCGATCGGTATCGTCGATCGCATCGGTCCAACGCTCGAGCGCGATGCGCGCTCGAGCGCGCGCGTGATACAGCTCGGCGTACGCGCTCGATTCTTCCACTCTCGCGTACGCCACCGCCGCGTCGTAATACTCCAACGCGCGCTCGTGATCGCCAGCTTCGAAACGTTCATCACCGAGCGCTTTTAAATCGCCTCCCATCGCCACCGCGCTCGCGTCTTCGCCTCGTCCGATCTCCAGCGTGGTCTCGCCTCGCCGCGTCGCCACCCGCGCGTCGCGCGCTCCCGCCCGCGTCGCGCCTCGAGACCGCATCGCTCGTCCCCATCGCCCGCAAAGCGTTTTTATCTCTGTCATATTTTGCCATCAATCGCTCGTACGCCCGCTGCACCCGCACGAAAGCCTTCGAATCGCCTCCAGATTTATCCGGGTGCAGCTCTCGAGCGAGCGTTTTATACGCCGTTTTCACCGCGCGCTCGCTCGCGCCGACGTCCAGGCGAAGCGCGGCGAAATCTTTCGAGATGGGCGACATCTTTTTCTTTGTCGACCCCTGAGCCATTTTCGCCGCGATCGAGGCGCTCGAGCGTCGACGTGTGCGTCCGAGATTGGTTCTTCTTCGAGCGAGCGTTTTTTTTCTGTTGAGTGGTCAATCGCCCCTTTGCGGTGTCGTCGAGGCGCGCCGAGGTACCGCGCGCGCGGAATCGACGGTCGATGTGATTTATATTTTTGCAGTTTTATTGAAATGATGATTACGGTGGAAAATTGATTCTTTCTTCGTCCGCGTACATGGATTGAAGCGCGCGGGAAGTGTCCCCGCGGGGTCGCTTTGCTCACCCGTTTCCACTGGCGCGGTTATCGATTGATGTAAGCGGCCGCGTTATCGAAGCCGAGGACGTTGACGAGGAACGTCTTACCGTCCGGCAAAGCTCGCTTTTCGAGGTTGGCCTTGTACTGAGCGATGACCTTTTCCGGCTCGGTCTCGTGCACGTCGAGAACGGCGTAGTAGGCGTTCTCAGACTGCGTCGCCGACATGACGGCTTCGCGAATCTTAGCCAGCATGGCCGTGTCCTTCTTCGGCTTGGCGACCACTTTGGAGAGAGAGCCCTTCGGCTTATCGTCGTCCTTGGCCTTCTCCGCAGCCTTGGCCTCCTTGCGCTCCTGCTTGAGCTTTGCGGCGGCTTCCTTGGTCGCCTCCCAGGCGCGCTTCTCGTCGAGCAAACGCTGGCGCTTCGCCTCGCGAGCGGCGAGAGCGAGCGCCTTCTTCTCAGCGAGGTATGCGTCACGCTTGATGGCGTACGCTTGTGCTTCTTGCAGCGCGATGTCTTCGTACTTCTTCTTGCCAGAGGCGCTGAGAGCCTTCCACGCGCTACCGAGGATGGCGGCTTGCTCGCGGAACGTAACCGCCTGCGGCGTCGCCGCCTTCGGTCGGAAGTGCTTCTCGCGGTACTCCTGAGCCCAAATGATGTACGCCGAGCGATTTTTACGCGGCGCCGCCTTATCCTTCTTTCTGCGCTTCCTGTTACCGTCTTTGTCGTATCGCGGGGCTGGCTCATCCTCCTTTTCATCTGGAAGCGGTACGTAATCGCGCATCTCGCGATAGTATCGTTCTTTATCTTGATCGCTGACTCTTTGGCACTCCGCCCGCTCCGCGTCACTCACCGTCTTCCACTTCAACGCCAACTCCTTGGTGATGTCCGTGACGCTCGCGTTCGGAGATTTCTTTTGAACCCGTTCGCGGTGTCGGTTTAAAAAAACCAAGTACGCCGACATCGCGCGCTTCGGCTTGTCCTTATCTCTGCGCTTTCTGCGCTTACGCTCGGGCGCCACCCCCGCGGGTTGTTTCGCCACCATGATTCCACCGCACGCGCGTCCGAGCGCTCGACCTACCGATCGCGAACACGCACTCGAGCGTCAGTCTCCCATTCCGCAATTTAAAAAATCCACCCGTTCGCTCGTCGCCCGTCGCGCGCGTGCATCCCCCATCCCGCCGCCCACTCCATGCGCCACCCCTCGCGTTCCCACACCGCGCGCGGAGACGAATACCTCCACCGTGCACCTCCATCACGCGCGCCCGATCGCGCGCGCGCGTCGTCGTCGCCGTCGCTCGCGCGTCCGTCCCGACGATTCACCCGCGCGCGCGCGCTTCGGCGCCCCCGTCCCTCGCGCGCCGTCCCGCGCGCCGCGACCGCGCGCGAGGCCGTTCGATCGCGCGCGCGCGCGCACCTAAAACCCCTCGATCGCCGCACCGCGTCGGCGTGGACGCGGGACGCGAACCGACGCGCGGGCGTCCGCGAATGCGCGGCGTCGCGCGATCCCTCGGCGTTCGCGTCGCTAAAGCCGCGACGGTGGGGCGTATCTAAGGTCTATCGTTTCGCGTGTCGTCGAGTGATGAGTCGTCGATGGAGGGACTCGGTGTCGCGGACGCCGCGGGAGATCGCGATCGGCGCGCGTGCGTATGGGGTATCGTAGTGTGGGGGGTATAGATCTATGTATGCGCCCCACACGGGCGACGTCGGTGATGACGCGCGTGATGGGACGACTCGGCGCTGTCTATAGACGTAGGGTTTACGTCGTCGTCGTCCGAGCGCTGGGAATGGCGACGACGACGACGGGCGCGTCGCGACGTCGGTCCAACGCGGGCGCGCGTCCGCACGCGTGCACGCGCGGGGACGTGTGCGCGACGGCGTGGACGCGCGGGCGCGGTACCGCGGACGGTGACGGGGCGACGAACGCGTGGGCGTGGAGGGAAACGACGACATGTCGCACCAAGATTGGAAGGAGATCACGATCGGGAAGCGCGCGAACGCGAGCTCGAGCGGTGGAATGAACATGAAACAGGCGAAGGATCCCAAGGCTGTGGCCGCGGTACGGATGATGCGCGCGTGACGTGGGGTTTAACGCACGGGAGGAGACTTTGAGCGCGCGCTGACGACGGGTTTTTCGCGGTCGACGTAGGCGCTTCGCGCGGGCATGGCGGTGCAGACGGTGAAGAAGGGTGCGTTCGAGCGACGCGAGATGGTTTGGGTGCGTACTGACGGGAGGTTGTTCGATTCGACGCAGATTCGGGGGCTGGACGGAACGCGTTAAAGTTGGAACTCGACGACGAAAACTTGACGCACAAGACGGTGAGCGCCGACGTGAAGAAAGCCATCCTGCAAGGACGTCTGGCGAAGAAGCTCACGCAGGCGCAACTGGCGCAGCAAATCAACGAAAAGCCGCAGATCGTGCAGGAGTACGAGTCGGGTAAGGCTATTCCGAACCAACAAATTTTGGGTAAGCTCGAGCGCATCCTCGGCGTGAAGCTTCGCGGCAAGGGCGTGGGCAAGTAAACGACGGTCCAGACCGACGCCGACGTCGCGCCGCCACGTCTCGATGTAAGACACCGTATCGTCGTACGCTCACGATCGCCTCCATGTCGTCTCGACGAACGCGCGTGCGCGGCGCGCGTTTCGCGTAATACGCAGTCGCGTCGCGTCGTTTTCTGCGCCCCGCGCCCTCGCGCGCCCCGCACGTCGCCGCGCGCGATGTCCGCGCGCGCCACCGCGCGCGGTGTGACTCAAGGGTTCGATCGGGGGTTTTATATCAAGTTGGCGAGCGTCTCCTTCGTCGTCGGCGCCGCGTTCGAGGGATTCATGCTCGCGACTGATTTCTATCCAAAAATCCTACACATCGAAGCCGAGCGACGATTTAACGCCGAAGAGCGGGAAAAGGCGATCGCGCGCGCGTCTTTGAACGAGAGGTCGTCTTCGTGAGCGAATGCCGCGAGCGCGTCGGCGTCGGTGTCGTTAGTTTCTATAGCCATTCTACATCAACGTGTACACTAACTAGGTAGTCGCGCGCGCGAAACGTCTCTCAACGCGTCACAACCCGTCGAGATCCATCTCCGAGCACACGCGCTTCGGTGGACACAGTTCCATCGCTAAATCGCGCTCGAAATCCTCGGAAAGACCGAGAACGAGGTCCGCCGAGCCTCGACGCTTTCTACTCTCTCGAAACGTCGCCAACGAAACCTCCCGCGCGCGCGTCGCATCCAGCGCCGCGCCCGCACCCGACCGCGCCAAGTCGTCGCCCGCATCGATTCGCTCATCCTCCGCGCTCGGCGTCGCCCTCGAAAACGCCCGAGGGTTTCTCGCGCGTTCGCTCGCGACGAAGTCGTCCAAGAGCGTCGGCCACGCGTCGTCCTCCGCGTACCACGATCCATCCTCCCCGAACGTCTCACACGCGAGAACAAAATCCCGCATCTGTCGCCACACATCTAGGGTCACGAACTCGATCCCTCGCGCCTCGACGAACCGGGCGAATCGACTCGCGACGCCGCGTCGACGTTCGAGGCGCCAATACGCGCACGCCGCCGTCGCCCGCGCGTGTCGCTCTCCCCTCTCCCGCAACAGCGCGTACGCCAGATCGTATCCATCCCTCGACCCGCTCTCACGATCATCCACCATCTCTCGCATCAGCGCCAGGGTCTCGTCATCGTTCGTCGCCCGCGTCGATCGCGTCGCCGTCCACTCCGAGTCGTCGCTCGCCCATCGCATCGCCCGTCTCCGCGCCTCCACGCGCGCGCGCTCCGCGCCGTGTCCCACCGCAGACGTCCCAGCCGGTCGCACGCGCGCGATGAACCCATCCCGCGTGCGCTCCAGCGTCGCCAGCGCCTCGGCGCGCGTCCCCATGGATGAATGTGTCACCGATGCGATCGCGATCGATCCCTCACCGCGCGCCGCACCCGTGGCCCCACGCGCGCGCGGACGTCGCGATGGACATGTGCGGTGACCCAAGCGAGCGCGTGGACCCCGCGCGCGAGTCCGCGGTCGCGCGCGCGCGCGGTTTTCTCACGTTTCTCGCGATGACCCCGGCGTTCGCGTCGAGTTTTCAACTCTCGTTGCTCTTCGCCCACGACGCGGTGCGGCTCGATCGACGACGGCGGCCCCATCCCGGGCTCGCCTGGGCGACGTTCACGACGATCACGGCGTTCGGGTGTCGAATGAAGCGCGCGCGTGGAAGTCGACGGCTTCGACGCGACGGCGACGGACGGACGCTGTATCTGTGTAATCATCGGGCGTGGAGCGATTTCTTCGTCGACGTGTACCTGACGGAGGGACGGGCGTTCATGATGTCGAGGATGCTCGTGGCGGTGGTGTTTCCGTTGTTCATGGTGCCCGCGATGGCGTGCGGGTGCGTTTTTGGGTTCAATAGATCGGGGGGGGAGAAGGACAAGTTGAACGCGGCGCTGGACGCGCACTACGCCGCGTATGAAGGCGAATTCGAGGGCATGGTGTGTTATCCGGAGGGCACGAGGAACGTTCGAGAGCACTCGTTGCCGTTGAAGCGTGGGATGTTGAGGTACGCGCACTCGCGGAAGATGGCGGTGCAGGTGATTTGTACGGGGAGAAAGGAGCGCGTGTTCTCGTCCCATTTGATGAGCGCCGAGAGAGGCGTCGCGCTGCCGACGTACTTCTCCGACGTCGTTCTCGCCGAGGATCACCCCGATTTCGAGGATTTCTACAACAAAATTCGAGCCGAGTGGGACGAGTCCTGGAGCGCGGTGAACGGGTTATCTGACGCCGAGGTGGAGTCGCTTCCGGATTACGTCCCGCGCGAGCGCTTGGTTCGCGCGACGGCGACGCACGACGCCGTCATGCTCGGTGGCCTCGTCTGTCTCGCGCTCGGCGCCGCCTTGGTCTATCGAGGTGGCTCCCGCGCGTTCGGTCTGCTCTGATTTCGTAATCGCGAACGCGCTCGTTTCGTGACGAAGACGCGCGTATTCGTGTAATAGCCACGCGCGCGAGACGCGTCAAAGTCACGAAAAGTCCGCACAATCCCGCGCGCGTCCCCGCCGTCCGACGCGCCCGATGCGAGACGACGCGAACGAACCCGCGAGCTCGAGCGCGTCGTTATCGCACTGCTCGCTCGATGCGCTGTTAAAACGACGCGCAAAGATGGAACAAGAGATGTCCGCCATCAGCGCGCGACTCTCCGCGAGCGATGCCCCGGGTTTGAGAGGCTCGCTCGTCGACCCCGAGGGGTTCCCGATCGCCGGATGTGATCTCTACGCCGTTCGCGCCGATCGCGGGCGGTACAACGGTGCGTCGGACGACGTCGAGCGAGACGAGAGAGACTGACGAGGACGAACCGTCGTCGGACGCGCGCAGTGTTAAGGAACGATTACGTGCGATTGAACGACGAGTTGCAGAAACGCATCGCGGAGCGAATGGCGGAAGCGCGGACGCGACGCGGGATGGAGCGACTCGACGTGCGCGAGGTGACCTCGAAGACGCCGGCGCCGGAACCGAAAGTCGAACCGAGAGCGGAGGACGAGGACGCCGGACGGGCGTTTTGCGTCATAGATCAGATCGCGGACGGATCTCCGGGAGATGTCGATGGGTTGCGCGTTGGTGACCGCGTGTGCGCGGTGGGTGGGGTGCGATGGGGGTTCGAAGACGCGCGCGCGACGCCGCCGGCGTCAGTGTTGACCGACGCGTCGCGCGCGTTTTCTGAGAATGAAAACGTCCCCGTGCGCGTCGTCGTTCTGAGGCGCGGCGAGCGGGTTGTGGTCTCGGTGACCCCGCGCGCGTGGTCTGGACGAGGATTAGTCGGGATTCACATGCAACTGCTTTGATTTCTCAACAAACTCAGTAGCCGCGTTTTCGCTGGAGTCGAAGTTGTTTCTTCCGCTCCTCGGGTGTCATCTCTTTTAATTCTTTCTTTGACGACGGTTTCTCCGATGGATTCTCCTTTTTCGTCTTCTTCTTCCTTGGCTCCTTCGTCCTCTCGTCGTCCTCCTTGTCGTCGTCCTCCTCGTCCCACGCGCTCGCCTGACCGCTTCCCGCATCGCGCGAAGCAAACAAAGTCTTCAGCGCGTCGCTCCCGCACGGTCCTCGGCGCTTCAACTCTTTATTTTCATAGATCTTAATCACGCCTGTGCGCTTTTTTTCATCCTTCTCTTCGTCTTCGTCCACTTCGGCGCCCCCGCCTTCTAAAATTTTCCCCTTATTGCGCGCCATGAGCTCCAGGAAAGACGGCTCTGCGGACAACTTCTTCCTCTCCTTCTTCTGCTTCTTCTCCTTCTTCTCCTTCTTCTCCTGCTTCTGCTTCATCTCCTGCTTCTCCTCACCGGTTTCTTCTTCTCTGTGGTTTGGTTCCACGCCGTCGTCCTCATCTTCATCCCTCGTCGGCTCTCGATCCTCTCCCCGAAGCGCGTCTCGCATTTTCCTCCCATCCAACAACTTCAGCCCGGGACACATGCGAGCGATTCGCTGGACGTACGCCGGATCACTCGCTATCGGACAACCACGCATCGTGAGTTGCTCTAATTTCTCCAGTCCCGATAACGCGCTGACGTCCCCCCAATCTGCGATTTGGTTATGGCCGACGTCCAGGATTCGCAAATTCGGCGTCCGCTGCACGCACGCCGGAACCGTCTTCAACGCGTTGTGCGACAACCTCAACTCACGAAGGCCTCGGGATGACTTCAGCGCCTCTAAACCAAACTTACGAATTCCATCGCGCTGTTTCGACAGGTTCAGCTTTCGAAGAGACGGTAATTCGCTCAGCGCGTCGCCGACGTCCCGAATCGCGCACGACCCGAGCGCGAGCGTATTCAGTTCTCTCAATCCTCTCACCGATTCCAAGTCTTCGATCCCGCACTGCGAGCACACGATGGCGGCTATGGATCTCATCTTCTCAACCCCCTTCAGCGATCGCAATCCGTCGTTTCCTGAGCACGTTAAGATGCGCACCGCCGGACACGCGCGCCCGAGCGGGACGAGCGCGTCTCCACTCAGCGCGTTATTCGCGCACGAAAACCACGTCACATCGCTCGATTTCAAGTTCTCAAGCGACGTCAACGCGTTATCGGTCAAGTCCAAGCGCTTGATGGGCCGTCCGGAGGACGTCGACGCGCGATTCAGCGCATCTGGGGCGACGCCCGTGATGGCGCACGCCCTGAGCGCGCACGCATCGCCGATGTGACGACTCGCGGCGAGCTCTGCGGTGAGCTCTGGCATGGACGCGAGCACGGTGAAGACGCGTTCGTACGCTCGACGCCGATCGCACGAGCGACGCGGTGACGAGGCGTCGCGCAGTGGCGCAGCCGTCGCGTACAAGGCGTTGTTACAAGTCTCTCGAGCGTCGAGCGGCCGGATGAATCGAGTGCGTTTCAGTGCGTGTTTCGGCGCGCGCGCGGTGAGGCTGAGAATGAATCGTGTTCGCACGCGCGTCTCCGCGCTCGTCGTGGCGATCACTCGGAGATGTCGGAGAGTTCCGAGAAGTGACCGTCCTCCTCTTCGCCCGAATCGTCGTCGTCGACGAGCGGGTCGCGTAAATCGTCATCGTCATCGCTCGTGCGACGCCTCGGCGGGAGTTTTCGCAAAATGTACAGCACCAAAGCGCTCGGAGCGAGCTCTAGTCCGGCGTAATACGCCAGATTGAGTGCCTCGGACGAGGACACCGCCACGGCGTCCGAGCGCTCGGCGCTCGCGACCAAAATCCCCCCACGCGCCGCGAACGTGCCCACGCACGTCAACGCCACCGTCGCAACCTCGCGAATCTTCCGTTTTCTCGTCGCCCCCAGCTCTTCGGGAAACGCTCGGAGCATGGCGAGCAATCGCGCGCCTCGAATGGCGAAATCGACCGCCACGGCGAACGACGCGCACGCCGGCGTCAACCTCGACGCCCTCAACAGCGCTCGCGTTCGCCCGTTCTCACCGTCGCGCTCGATCCCGATCGAGACCAAAACTATGCATTCAACCAATACCGCGCCATACGCGACGATTCGGTGCCAAACCCGCGCGCCCGTCTCCGCGCTCGCCCGCGCCCCGCGCGCCGCGCCTCGCAGGACGTCGCTCCAAAACAACGAAATCGTCCCGTGCGCCAGCGCGTGCGCCAGCGTCGGCGTCGCGAACGCCAGCGCGCGCACGACCAGACCTCCCGTCGTCGTCGCGTCGCCACCGAACGCGAACAACGCGCACGCGCGAGACGTGAACGCCAGGGCGTTGAGTGAAAAGAACACCTTTTGCGTCGTCGGTCCAACCTCTGGCGCGCGCGCGGCGATGCGCCCGACGCGATGGACGCACGCGAGGGCGACGGAGAGGTAGAGCGCGGCGAGGACGATCCAGAGCGCGCGCGCGCGATCCATCGCGACGGGCGCGACGGTGTGTGCAGCGCGCGATCGATCGAACGATGGATGAATGAGTGAGTGGTTGGATGACGGACGCGACGGGTAAGGAGACGACCGGCGGCGGCGCGCGGGGGATGGAGGTCTACTCGGGTGGGTATTATGACAACTCGTCGTGCGTAGAGTGGCGCTTATCGATAGCGCGCGTCCTATTGATGGGCACGTATGGTAAATAAATCTATTGGACGGATTGGAAACTCGCGCGCGCGACGACTCGTCGCGAGACGCGGGCGGTGTGACGTATCTCTCGCGCCGGTACCGGTGCGAGTATTATGATTGTTAGCGTATTAAGTCTTCGCGTTCACGTCGGACAAGCTCCCAGAAGAACTAGCGTTCATACCGACGAGATTAGCGGAGCTCGGCTCGTGTCCGAACGGAATCCAGCAGCAAATATTGTTCCTGTGGGCGATGCTCTCGGCGCCGGCGTAGCCGACTATTTCGTAAAACTCCTCCGACGTCTTGCCGATGAAGGAGGCTATCTCGTCGGAGGCGTAGTTGACGATGGCGCGGCCCAAGTCGCGCTCCTCGCCGCTCTCTTCCCTGACGAGCAAACGCACGGCGTCTTCCGCGGTGAAATCGCCTCGGCACTCGAGCAGAGCCGTGGAGAAGAGAGACTTGTTGTTCTCGAGCGCCGTCGCCGCGCGCTCCGTCACCACGAGATCGCCGACCGCCGGGAGCAGCAAGATCCAACGCTTGCGCCCGCGCAACGGACGAGGCATGGCGAGGACGAGCGTTCCAACGGACTTTTGCTTCAAGATGATTTCCGGCATCTCTGGCATGGAGGAGGTGTGCATGACGATCGTGTTGCAGCCGCTCGCCGCGGCGAGTCTCGCGGCGGATAGCTTGGTCGCCATCCCGCCCGTTCCAAGCCCGCTCTCACCCGATTCCGCCGTGCACACGTTCAAGTCCTCGATATTTTCCACCACTTCAATGCGCTCGGCGTCTGGATTAGTGTGCGGATTCGCCGTATAAATCCCGTCAACGTCCGTGAGCAAGAAGAGGTAGTCGGCGTCCACGAGCGCGGCCACGTGCGCGCTGAGCGTGTCGTTATCTCCAAACTTTGTGTGCTGCACCGCCACTGTGTCGTTTTCGTTCACTATCGGGATGATGTCCTGCGCCAGTAACGCCTTAAACGTGCTCTGCGCGTTGCAATACTGCTGTCTGTCCATGATGTTGTCGAGCGAGATCAGAACCTGCGCGCACGTCTGACCCACCGACTGAAAAAAGTCATCGTACATCCGCATCAACCGCACCATCCCCACCGCCGCCAGCGCTTGTTTCCCCGCCAAATCACTCGGTTTCTTCTTATGCAGCACCTGACACCCCACACCGACCGCACCGCTCGTGACGACGACGACGCGCATGCCGAGCGATTGCAAAATCGCGCTCGTCTCCGCCAGCGCCGCGAAATTCGTCAAGTTCAAGTGTCCACCCACCCCACCTCGCAGGAGCGACGACGTCCCAACCTTGATCACGACGATGGGCGCCCGGTTCGTCCCCGCCGGGGAGTTCGGTCGCGGCACCAGCGCGCATCCGCGGACGTCACTGAGCTGTCGTCGCACGTCCCGCATCGCGTACGCCCGTAAATCGATCGCGGGGTCCGCGAGCTCGCCCGAGGACGTGCGCGCGAGCGTCGGGGAGGGAATCGCGGTCGGAGACGACGACGTCGCCATCGCGCGCGCTCGGTCGCGAGCGAGGTGTGCGGACGACGACGACGACGACGAGGACGATCGCGGGCGACGGCGGCGTGGGAGGGACTGCGTGTTGAGTCGTGACTCGTGAAGTGTCGTGCAGTGGTGCCGTGCGATAAGGTCCGCGTGTGACTCGGTTTCAATCGATCACGCGTCTCGGGTTTAGGGGGCGTCGAACGCGCGCGCGAGCTCGCGCAGGGCGTCGGCGCAGAGGGGAATGGAGAGTAAATCTCTCCCGTCGTGCGCGCGTTTGCTTCGAACGAGCTCGTGGTCGGTGAACTCGGTCAAGTGCACGCGAAGGGTGACCTCGCTGCTGACGAGAAATTGCTCTCGACACGAGGCGTAGAAGACGTCGAAAGGCATGCCGGGAGAGTCCTCGTTCTCGAGCTGGTGCTCGGCGAGCAAACGGAAGATGGCGCGACCGTTCGCGGTGAGCGATCGTAAGACATTCGCAGCGCCTCTGACGTGACGCTCCTCGCCCTTGCTCGCCAAAAGTTGGGGGAAGTTGGCCGTCTCGAGCGCGTACGACGCAAAGGTGGACGCCTCCTGCCACACCCAGTTGAACCTCGCGGCCTCGCGCTTACTCCAGAGCAGTGGAGCGTTGACGTGATCGATGCTGGCGATGAGGTGAACTCGATCCATGCTCGCGAGCTCGCCCAACAGTGCCTGCGCCTCGCTCGTGCGCAGCGTTGGTCCGTCGATGTTGTGCAAGACGATGTACAGACGCTTGGGCTCGCGCGTCGCGGATCCTCTCGTCGCGCTCTGAATCTTCGCCAACAGCGTCTCCGTGGGCGTCTTATCGCTAATTATCGACCCGTTACTCTGTGTGTCGTTCATAATCTCGCTCACCGGTGTTAACGCCGCCGCCGCGGCGACGACGACTTGCTTGGGCGTGAGCGCCGGGAAGAACCCGTTGACGATGACGACGCCGCCGTCGCGGAAATACCGCGTCTCGAAGTCCTCCATGAGCGCCTTCTTCGAGCCGAACCCATAGAGCAAGACGTTGAATCCGGCACGTAAGAGCTGATACCATCGTCGGTGCTGTTTTTCTAAATTTTTCACGATCGCCGCGCGCTCGTTTTGATGTCCCTGCGGCAGGTGTCCCAAGAGCTCTCGAACGGTCTCCTCGTCCGCCAGGTCCAGCGTCCCGAGCAAGTTCGCTCGATTCCCCGCCGTCTGTCTCCCCCTTCCCTTGCTCGCGATGTACCCCACGCCTTTGTGCGCATCGTTTCCCTTTCTTCGCTTCCCTCGTCCGTCGCGTCCGTTCGCCTCGGCGTCCGCCTCCAAAGTCGCGAGCGCCCCCTCACCTCGTTCCGCCGCCACCAAACAATCCGCGATCGCCAGCGCGAGCGTCTCATCCCTCGACGCCACCCCCGACGTCGTCGCCTCGCCCCCGTTCCCTCGTCCGCGCGCGCCCGTCGCGTCGCCCTCGACGACGTCTCGCGTCCGTCCCGCCCTCGACGCCCGCCGCGCCTCCACGTACTCCCGCGAGAGCGGTTTATGTCCGGCCACCCGACGCGTGCCGCCTCGGGCGATTCGCCGACCCGTCGTCGCCGCGAACGACGGCATCGCGGGCTCCCGTCGCCGCTTCGGCGCCATCGTCCGGGGCCGAGACGTGAGGGATCGATGTGATTGTGATTTGATTTCATTGTCAGTTTCAAATCAATGCGCTCGGACGACGCCACGCAGACTGTTCGCCCACACGAATAGACACCATACTGTTCGCTCACACGAATACACATCACACCGGTCGCCATCATCGAAACGTCCACGCCGCGCCCGACGCCCGCGTCGCGGCAGACGACACCGGGACGCGCGCGCGATCGACGCGCGATGCCCACGCTTGTCGCCGCGATCGCGCGCGCGAGATCGATCACGCGTCGCGGCGACGCGTCGAGGGATGATGGAACGATGCGTCGACGTCATCGACGATGCGCTCGAGCGACGCCGACGGTGACGTACGACACCGAGTTCGACGCGCGCACGGGACAAGACGTCGAGGTGCTCTCGCAATCGATCGCGCGCGTGGAGCTGAGTGATGGGGTGACGTGGAGCTATCGCGCGGGGGCGAGCGCGCCGAGAGCGGGCGAGACGGCGCGGACGGAGACGCCGGTGGTCGTCGCGCACGGCGTCGGTGGACGCGCGTTCGGGTTTCGCGCGGTGTCGAGGGAGTTGCAAGAGCGTGGACATGAGGTGTACGCGGTGGACGTCACGGGACACGGGGAATCGAGTAAGCCGACGCCGGGACGGGGGCTGGCGGGGTACGACGCCGCGGCGACGGGCGCGGCGTTTGAGGAATTCTTGAAAAAGGTCACGGGCGATCGCGCGGTGGATCTCGTCTTGCACGGCTACGTGATTCCGCAACATTTGCTGATGCTCGTGGCGAAAAATCCGGGGCTGTTTAGGCGTGTGGTGATTTTGAACTCGCCGCTGGCGCCGTCGCACGCGTACCCGCCGCAAATGGCGACGTACGGACGACCGTTCGGCATGGGCAAAGGAGCCGCGTTCGACGCCGCGGGATACCTGTACAACGGCAACGAGTTTGCTCTCTCCGGGGACGTTCTCGCGGAGTACGAAAAGCCGTACGTCGGCGCCGAGGCCGAGGCGGCGCGCGCCGCCGCCGAAGCGTACATCACCAAGGCGGGCGACCTGAAGAAGCTCACAAAGGAGGTGAAGGACGCGCTCAGCGCGCGTGGTCTACCAAAGATGCGCGTGATTTGGGGAACGTCGGATAGGTACCTGGACGATGCACCCATCTACGACTGGTGCTCGGACGTTCGCGCGTCCTTTAGCGCCATGCGAAAGGTTGGACACATGCCCCAGGAGGATTTCGCCGTGGAAACCGCGTCGCGCATCGCCGAATTCCTCAGCGCCGATTTACGCGCCAGCGCGAAGACCGCGCTCAACTCCGTTCGCGTCGGTAAGATAACCACGGACGATGGACAGGGATAACTACGAAGGCGTTCTCGTAATGGTACCCCATGTAAAAAGCACACGAGTTATTGACACTTTCTCTCTTTCATCGCGACGCGCGGTTCGTGGAGTCTTATTACGTGCGTTTCACTAAAACAATTCTTAATCTCGCGTATTAATCGCCACGGATGCGACCCCAGAGAGCGGCGACGATCGGAATCAATCCAACGCTACCGAGGGACATGCGCTGGTTCGTCGTGGCTCGGACGGAAATCTTTCCGGTGCCTCGGGAGTTGATGTTGAAGCTACCCGTCATCTGCGTGTCCTTGCCGACTTGAATCGAGCTCATACCGTTGCAACCGAGGGCGAGGTCGCCACGCCAGTTCATGAAGCTCGCGCTCAGCGTGGACGAGTTCGGGTTCGCCGGGTCCTCGCTGTGACGGACGATGGTCTCAATGTTGCCGGCGTACGCGACATCCTTCTGGGCCGTCACCGCGCCGGTGCTCACGACAACCTTCATGCCCGGACGAAGTTTGAATCTATTTTCAATCTTCGTACCGAGAGCGACGACGCCGCCGACGAGGGAGGCGGAGAGGCCGCCGATGATCTTGTCCACCGCGCACCACTTCCATCTCGTCTCGCCTCGCGTCGTGTACACCAAATCCTTACCCACGGTTTGAATGTCCACGCCCGTGGTCGAGATGAGCGTGCGCGTGTGCGGAATGGACATTTCTCCCTCGAAGCTGAAGTTGCTATCCTTCTTATCCTTGGAAATTTGCGCCTGCACGACACCCGGGACTTGATCCTTGAGAATGAACTGGTGCTCGACGGAGAAGCCCTCGACGCCCGTCTCGTGATCCCATCCGTGCGCGTCAACAATGGGTCGGCACGCCCACTGTTGATTGGATTCGAGCTGACGGTAGTGGTGAGCTTGGCTGTCGTTATCGAACGACAAGGGCAACTGAGGATCGGGCGCTGGGATGGAGACTTGTTTGGGCGTCGGCAGCGGTTCCATTTGATCCGCCGGAATGTCATACGGTGACGGCTCGCCGGAAATGATTTCAGTCTCTAAATCCTCGAATCCGTCGTCTTCGTACTCCATCAAACGACGCGGCTTACGCGTGGTGATGAGAGACGAGAGAAGGAACGGAAGCGGCGGGACCTTTTGTTGTCCCATCATGCCACCTCCTCGGCCGCCCTTGCTAGCCATTTTTTGCTCGGCTTGCAAGTTCAACAACGTGTTGGCCTCGGTGAGAATCTTCGAAGCGAAGCAAAGTAGCAATAACTGCGGCTTCCACACCTGTCCGTTTGGCAAAACGCGCTCGCCCGCGCGGTTGGTGCGACAGAGAGGGTGGTTTTCAGCGAGGGCCACCGGGTTCATCAATCGCATGTCGCCGGCGGCTTGACGAATGGTTTGCTGCACGATGTGCGAGCGCTGAGCGACGTACATCTCGTACGAGATGGGCTGCCCGTTCGCACCATCCGGCGGCGCGGCGGCGGCGTGCGTCAAGACGACGATGGCGTTGAACCACACCGCTTGGCCGAACGTGGTGGTGATTTGCTTAAGCAGAGGCAAGTCAGCGGCATCCGAACGAGACGGAATGTCCAGGCGGTCAAAGTAGAGCACGATGTCCGGCTTATGATTCTTCGTGAACTTCTTCGCGGCATTCATGATGTTGGCGTTGTATCGGATGTCAGAAGCGGATGCTTGCAGACCAGGGGTGTCGATGAGACGAAGGGTCAAGCCGTGAATCTTCTTCTCGATGAGTTGAACCTTGGACGTCGCATCCGCCTCGGCGGTGCCGGACGGCGCGGAGCCTTCGCCCAGGAGAGAGTTGATTACGGCAGATTTACCGACTCCGCTCTTACCCAAGAGCAAGATGGTGCACGTGAAGTCCAAATCCTCTTTCGAACCGCCATCCTTCTCCGCCTGTTCGGCGAGCGCCAGGGCGCGGTCAAAAGACGAGCTGGACGCATCCTTCGTCGCGCCCTTCCCAGCCTTGAGCTGTTCGGCGAGCTCCAAGCGGTAGATGACTTGTGCCACGACCGTGTTTCTCGGGCTCTGTTCCAATCTAGACGCCAATCTGAGAAGCTTGATTCGAAGCATTTGCAGCTCGTACGCCCGGGTCGCGTCGACGTCGCTCGGGTCCGGTTTCACCAAGGGTTCCACCGGCGTCGGCTTCGGCTTCACCGCCGCCACGACGCTCCCAGCCGCGTCACGAACGGCACCGGCGAAAGATTTCGCGAGCATCGGCGCCGTGGACGCCGCCGCTCGGAACTTGGCCCCGGCTTCGGCCCGGGCTTCGCCCGCGTCGCGTTCGCCCTCAACCTCTCCTCGCGCATCGACGTCTTCGTCCTCGTACTCCTCCTCGTACTCCTCCTCGTACTCCTCCTCGTACATCTCATCCATCTCTTCGTTCTCCGGTTCACCGTCGTACGTCTCCTCCTCGTTCGCCATCGCGCGTCGATCGTCCGCGTCCTCGACCTCGCGCGCCGTCTCGATCGTCTCCGTCACCTCGCGCGTCTCCCCCGACCCTCGTCCCACGCGCTCGTCCTCGTCACCCTCGTCGTCCTCGTATTCGCTCGCCTCGTCGCTCTCGTCGAATTCGCTCGCCTCGCGCGTGTCCTCGTCGCTCAGGCTAAAATCTTCGCTCGAGTGCACGTCGAGTTCGTCCCGGGAGTCGTACGCGTACGCCTCGGAATCGCTGCTCGAGTACGCGTGATCGCCGTCGTCCATGAACGACCGCGACGACGTCTCGGTCGGACGATCGCGACCGCGACGCGCGTGGAGTGCGGACGCGCGTCGAGGGGGGGGCGCGCGCGTTGGGGTTTCGTCAAGCGCGCGTGTGCGTGTGCGTATGGGGGTTGGTTGTAGGACCCATTCGCACCGTAGAGGTGGGCGCGCGCGTCGAGGCGTTGACGATATTGAAGGTATTGAAGGTATTACAAGAGAAACCGAGGGATTATTACGTCGACGACGACGTGTACGATTGTCCAGTGATCGCTCGCGTCTTGGGCGTCCGAGTTATTGGACGACGCAGCACGCGGGACCGGCGGCGGAAGCATCGGGCTGCGCCGCGTACCTGGCGGCGACCGGGGTCAAGATTTGGATGATCTCGGTGAAATCGGGACGCTTCTTCACGATCGGATCCCACATGCGCGTGACCAGGGCGGCGAGATCGGGGGGCATGTAACCCTCGCGAATCACCGGGCGTAAGTTCTCCAGACTCGCCGCTCGGCACGCGTCCACGGGGTTTCTTCCGCTGAATGGCTGCTGGAAACTGAAGAGCTGGTAGTAAATCATCGACGCCGCGTACACGTCGACGGCTGGACCGTAAAACTCGTGTCTAAAGACCTCGGGAGCCATGTAACGATACGATCCCGTCTCGCCCGTCATGTTGAACGCCTGGGACATTTCTTGCGGAAGCTTGTTGCGCACGGAGAGCGTCTTGGAGAGACCAAAATCACCAATCTTGAGCGTTCGATTCGTCGTCAACATCAGGTTACCCGGCTTCAAGTCGCGGTGAATCACCGGAAGCGGCGAACGACCGTGAAGATACGCCATCCCGCGCGCGCAGTCGAGCGCCATTTGCGTGGCCAACTTGAGAGACAAGAGCTCTTCGTTCCTGAATACTTGTTCTAAACTCCCGCCACCCATGAACTCGCTGACAATGGAAGTCAGACCCTCAGTCGAGGTCGTCGTTCCCAGAAATTGCACGATGTGAGGGTGATGGAGCTGCTGCATGATTTTCAGTTCGAGACGAAATTCCGCCTGAGCAACTTCGTCCGCGTTGAGGTGCTTGTGAAGTTGCTTCAAGCAAACCTTGGTACCGCGCCACATGCCGGTGTAAACGACGCCAAAGGCGCCGGCACCAATCTCTTCGACGTTACTGAACTCCCCATCCGGAATCTCCCACGCCATCGTGTCCGCAGGCAAGCTCGTGTGCGCAGCGCCCGCCAAGTGCGACTCCTCCAGGGGCAGCAACGTTCCGCTGACCCTGTCCTTGATCTTCGCCCCGTTCTTCACGAGCATCTTAACCAAATCGCTGTGGTTCCCGTACACAGCGCTCTCCAACGGCGTCGATCCCCATCGATCGATCATATTCAACGACACACCACTCTTCACCAACCAATCCGCCACCGCGAAAGAGCCCTCGCTCGCGGCGACGTGCAGCGGCGTGCGGTTATCGTAGTCGGCGAATGGCTCGCTCGTGATAGTTCTGTTCGCTCGCTCAAGCACCCGCTTCAGCCGCTTCAGGTTACCCGTCGAGCAGCAGAACAGTAATTCACTCACTAAATGTCTCTGCGAGTACTGAATGAACCGATCGGTTCCCGGTTTATTCGTCGTGTCTTCCCCGGACGTGCTTCCGCCCGCCGTGTTGTTCGTCCCCTCCGCGCCCTCTGGCTCGTCCAGGTCAACCCTGTACGGCGCTCGCGCGCCCGGCGACGCACCGACGGGTAAGTTGGGATCGGCGATGCGCGGCACGCTCCCGGACCCATCGTCACCGCTCCGTCGCTGCGTCATCGTCGTTCACGCGCGCGGTGCGAAATCACACCTCGACCCGCGTCGGCGCGGTCGTGCACCTCGAGTCGACGACGACGACGACGACGACGACGACGACGACGACGACGACGACGACGACGAGAGAGAGACGATGACGACGACGACGACGACGACGACGATGCGTGCGAACGCACGCGGTGGCGATCGAACGGACGACGGGCGCGAGAAGTGACGACGCGGACGTCGAGCGACGGACGCGGCGGCGTCGTGAGGGCAAACGGACGATTTATTGGACCCAGGGCGGGCGAGGGGGTGGCGTCTCCGTCGTCCGTCGCGCGCCCGGGTCGACGACGAGCCTCGATGGACGTCGACGAGGAATCGAACGAGTGATGTAGAGATGCGGTTGAAAACGTATATGCAGTTGAAAATTGTGTGCCGGGTGAACGTCCAATCGTCCACCGTCAAACCCATCAAAGAAGAATTCTATTTCTGAGCTCGCCCGCCGCGCGGTCAAAGCTTTTCGCCGCAGTACATGTAATGCGTCGGCCTGTACGGGGTGTATGGCACTCTGCCCTCCTCTTCGCTCATCCACACCGTTTTAAACCCCTTTTGGTTCAGTAGCCACTCGCGATGCTCCTTGTTGAAGAAGACTCCATCCATGGCGAACCACCACTTATATAATCGCTGCTCCCAGGTGCGCTCTCTTCCTTCGCGCTCGACGAAATCAATGAGCGCCAAGTTACCGCCTGAGGCGACGAGATCCGACATCGTCTTCATCGCCTTCTTCCACTCGGGGATCATCGTCACGCAGTATGAGCACGTCACTAAATCGACCTGCTTGGGAAGCTTCTTCTTCACCGCGGCGCTGTTGATGTCACCCTCGACCAAGACCACTTGCTTCGTGAGCCCGAGCTCCTCGACGCGTTCGCGAGCCATCTCGAGTAAAGCGTCGGATAAGTCGCACAAGTACACCTTCGTCTTGCACTTCTTCACGTGGCCGACGACGAACTCGATGTCGCGCGCGGTGCCACAGCCGACGGAGATCCACGTCGTTGGTTCCTTCGCCCACGGAATGACGTGGCGCATGAAAACCTCGCGACCCGGGAGTAACGCCTCACGGAATCCATCGTAACGCTTGCCCTGGTGCTTGTAGAACGCGCGCACGTCCTTCACCTTGCTCAATCCTTGCTTTGCCATGGCGAGCATCACGGAGACATCGCCGAGGAAAGAGTTCTTGAACGTCCTGCCGCTGCCCTGCTGCACGATCATCGCTGGGTTGTAGTTCTCCGGCGTCGGGGCAATAAACTGTGTCAGGTACCATCCAACGCGATCGTAATCCGGAACGAGAGTACCGTCGAGGTGTGCGAGCACGGGCGAGTGCACGCGGTCGGCAAACGAGCGCCAGAAAATGCGCCCATTCTCCTTGTCCATGTTGGCGACAACCTTGGAGATGTTCTCCGCGATCATTTCCGCCGGCATCCAATCCATCGAATCAAGTAGAGAGGCGATCGTGATCGAACCCGGACCAGATCGCACCGCGGCGTCCGCCCACGTTCCGTGGAACAACTCGACGCGATCCCATCGCTTCTTGAGGTTGGCAAAGTTCTTCTTTTCCAAATAACGCGGACAGCAGTCGGGAGCGAATTCGCCCACGATGTAGCCGTAGTAGAAGTAGTTATTCGGTTTCCACACGCGAACGGTGAGGACTTCGATCAACCGTTCGACGAAAACATGCGGGTTACGGCTCAACAAGTTCAGTTGCTCGAGCGGCACCCCACCGAGCGGGGCAATCCAGCTCCACAAGAACGTCGCCGAGCACAGCTTGAGGGTGAGCCAGAGCAAAATACCACCGCGTTCATCAAAGTTTTCGCGGTTCATCACTCGTTTGCGAATGCCCGACAAGCGCAACGGCAGGCATAAGATCCTTGCCATTAAGCCAGAGGTGCCGGCGTACATGAAATTGTCCCGAAATAAGTTGTGGTTATCGTCCCAGAACTCGGCTGTTTCTTTCTTGAGAAGCGGACGCAACTTCGATTCGTACACTGACTTGAACACCTTGTAGTTGGAGCGACCCCAAATGTCGAAGAACTCCTCCCACTTCAGCGCTCGGATGCACGCGAGCTTGAGCTCGAGAGTGTGCAACTGCGCGGCGTTCATGTCGACCGCGATGATCTTCTTCGGTCCTTCGCACAAGTAATCGAGGACATTGCAACCGGCGGAAGAAATCGTGAGTACTGTGTCCTGATCGTTCATGTGCATCACATTGTGATCGACGGCGGGATCTTCCCATGAGATGTTGTAGATGATCTTCTTGCGACCAATAGACGTCATGATGAAGTTCTGAGTGTACACGTCGTGAATGACGACACCAAATCGGTACATGAAGAACAGGATGATGACGGCGTGCATCGCGACGACTGGCGAAGACGGCGGTTGCGTGTACTTATCGAACACCAAATCGTAAGCAGCGTAGCAGTGCGCGCACGCGTGCGCAACCAACAACGAACAGAAGAGCGCGAGCTTTGCCCTGTACGGCATGCGCGTGCGGCCGTGCGAGCGCATCAGGTATCCGCGCACCCATCTTTGAAACTCTTTGACGTGCAAAATCAGCAAACTCAGGCCCACGGTGAAGACCAAGTTTGAGAACTGCGCCGCCTTGTAAATCAAAACGGTGTGGAACACAATGCGCGTGAGAAAGTACAAGATGCCGAACAAAAGACTCGGTCTCGACTTGTTTTGCACCTCGTGGAAGGCAAGAATCAAGATTGGAACCTCTTCAACGAGTGCGATGGCGAACAAGGAGGTGAGGCCGTCGTGAAGAAGGTACGCGCACACCGCGATGTACAAAAAGTGGTGCGTCCAGCCGTCGTCGTACGTCAGCAAGTTTTCATAGTGAATGCTCCCGAGGAAGAGGTCCATGATGCAGTAACCGATGAAGAAGATGGCCGCGTACCGTGAGATATCCGTCTCGTTGTCGATCGTCGCCGTGAATCCGTCGTGGCAGACGTGATAGAACAGATACAAACCGACAAACGATGTCACAAAGGACGAATAAAGCGTCAAGTACCACGAGTGGTCAGGAAGCTTCAAGAGGCGCAAAAAGTAGTACACGAACGCGCATGCGATCATGTTAGACACGAGGAGCATCCAATCGCTGCTGGAAAACCTCACGTTCTCCATCAGGAACTGCCCCATCTGCGTCGGGAACGACGCCGCGGTCGTCGCCATGGCGTTTGAGGTTTCACCTTCGTCCTGCGCGATCAGTCGGCGCGAGAGCCGCTCGAGGTCAGTCTTCTCGTCCACGCGATCGATACGTTCGATTCAAAGATCATTTCCCATCCCCCACGTCTCACGATCCAGTCTCACTCGATCGATCGCTTCCTCCACGCGCGTCGTCGCGTTCGCCCTATTCGAACGCGACGGACGCGCGCCCTTTTCCGCGCGTTCGCCCTCTCGCCGTTCGACGCGACCTTCCTCCGGTGCCCGATCGCCCCCCGCGCGTTCCCGTGCACCACGACCATCGTCCCTCTGCCCACCGACGCGGTCCAGCGCGCGACGGACGATCCGTCACCGTCCATCCATCGCGCGCGATCTCGACGAGCTCCGGGACGGAACCGTCATCATCCACCAACATCCCATCGCGCCCGTCGTCGAGTTCGACGTGCGCCCGATGACGCACCTCGACGCGCGGTGTCCTCGATCGAGCTCGATCGCGCCTCCGTCGTCGTCGTCGACGCGCACTGAAGACGACGACGACGCGGCGACGACGACGACGGGCCGAGACGCCCGCGCGCGCGTCGGGCGTGATCCATGATGACGCCACTCGAGTACGATGTAAACACAAATGGACACCCGACGCGCGCGACGAGGGTTGCGCGACGTGGACGATCCGCGTGGACGCCGTGACCGCCTCTTCGTGACGCGCGTCGTCCGGCACACCGCGAGAGATGGTGCTCAAGACGGAGAAGTGCTCGTTCAGCGGCCTGCGCGTGTACCCGGGACACGGTATGCGGCTGACCAAGCAAGATTCATCCACGTTCCTGTACCTGAACGGCAAGTGCAAGAAGCTCGCCGAGCAAAAGAAAAAGCCAGCCAAGCTCGCGTGGACGTACGCCTACCGCAAGGCGCACAAGAAGGTACGTGTCATCGAAATCGTTCGCGCGTTTGGTCGCGATCGCGGTGTTTGAAGACGCTCGCGCGATGCGCGCGAAGCGACGATGAAGCGCGATGGCGATCGAACGCTAGGGCTTGGACCGGCGACGACGCGCGACGCGACGCCTCGGCGCGATCACGGGAGGCTTGAGCGATGCGATCGATCGAGAGCTTTGACTGACATTCATCTATTTTCGGCGATGAACAGGACATCGAGACGACGACGCGCAAGAAGACGCGCCGCGTGAACAAGAACGCCTTCACGCGATCTTTGGTTGGGGCTTCGCTGGAGGTGCTCGCGAAGAAGCGCCAAGAAAAGCCGGAGGTTCGCGCCGCCGCTCGCGAGGCTGCGCTTCGTGAGATCAAGGCGCGTGCGGCGAAGAAGAAGGGCGGGAAGAAGTAAACGACGCGGCGGCGTCGTTCTCTCTAGGATTTCTTTAGCCGAACACGACCCAAACCAATTTCGGCGATGGGCGCGAGCGCGGTGAGTTCGAAGTTCGTTGTTTGATGTAATCGATCACGCTCGCGAATCGTCGGAGCAAGTGGTATCGCGCGCGCATCGATCGCGTCCTCGATCGCTCGAGTTGCTCGGGTCGCCCTAACCGAACGCGCCTCTCGCCGCCGCACTCGCCGGCGCGCGCCACGGCGCGAACGACATGCGCTCGGCATCGACCCCATCGGTCGCCGCGATCGAGTCCACTTCGTACACGCCGACGCGCTTAACCTCTGCGTCGCGTCCGAGCGCGCGCGCACGACTCGTTCGATCGACGTTTTCGCCTCGAAGAGCGTCGAAAGAGGACTGCTCGAACGAACGTTTCGACGACGACGACGACGACGACGACGCGTCGCCGTTCACGATAGCGGTGTACACCAAGCCCGGGTGCTGCCTGTGCGACGGTCTGAAGGAGAAGATCGAGTGCGCGCTGGAGAGCGCGCGAAGAGGCGAGGCGAGCGCGCGCACTGGGACGGCGCGAGACGCCCTGCGTGACTTCATCCTCGTCTCCAAGGACGTGAGCGAGAACGAGCTCTGGGCCGAGCTCTACGCCGGAAGTGTTCCCAGGGTGTTCATCAGAGATTCACACGCGCTCGACGGCGAGGGGTGGGTCGAGTTCGCGAGACCGCCGCCGAAGACGAGCGCCGCGCGCGTATGCGACGACTTGGACGCCTTTGTTCGCTCGAGACGTCCGCGCTCGGGCGTCTCGTCCTCGGGATGGGTCGTGAACGCGGCACCGGCGTGGGATACGAGCAATCATTCGTCTCATTTTTAGATTTTAGTGGTACTTGTATGTGTGTGTACGTGTGTGTGTGTGATATTATTGCGTGGCTAACGTCCACGTCCCACTCGACCGCGACGACGGGAACGCGCACACACCAACGCAGACGCCCCCACTCGTCGACGCGGTGTTGGCGACGGCGGTCGTCTATAGCGCTGATGGCAACGGATTTTTTCGCCCTGTGCGACACGTTCAGGCTCGAACGGGACGATGGGAAACGCACGACGAACGTTGAACCGTCGAGACCGTTGAGCGATAAAGTGGATAAAGTCATGGTTGGAGGCGACGACGATCACGAGGTATCGTGCTCGAGCGAGCGAGCGAGAGAGGTTGACGAGAACGTGTTCGATGAAGCGTGGGAGCGTCTGCGCGATTGGCGAGACGGAAAAGACGGCGAAGCGAGCGTGGATGAGTTTCACTCGTTGGTCGTCTCTCTGGCTGCGCGGCCGCAGGCGCGGTTCCAATGTCTCGTCGCGGCACTGATGAGCGTGCAGTGCCTCGACCGAGTCGCGTTGAGGGCTTTTCAGCGATTGCGAGATGATCACATGAGCGGTGATGTCACGATAGAGCGCGTTCGGAAGATGGACAGAGCCACGCTCGAGTCAGCACTGAAAACGCTCAACTTGTGGCGAGCAAAAGCAAAATACATTAAGGAGTGCTCGGAGGCTATCCATTTCAAGTTCCGCGATACCGTACCAAGAACTGTGGGCGCGCTTAAGACATTACCTGGCGTGGGGGACAAACTCGCGCACTTGGTCGCGTCCGTAAGCTACGACGAGAGTTCTGCGCAGTATGCCGGCGTCGTCGTCGACACACACGTCCAGAGAGTCTCCAGAAGGTTGGGATGGGTAGGAAAATGTGATGATCCCGAGCGCGTGCGTATGAAACTGCAGGCCAGAGTGCATCGCGACGATTGGGAGGAGCTCACGCTCGGTTTGATTGCGTTAGGACAGAACGTGTGTCACTCTCGAAATCCAGCGTGCGATCGTTGTCCTTTGCGAACGCGATGCCCGGCGGCGCCCCGCGCGGTTGAAATCGACATAGAATAGTGAAATCTCTAGAGATGCAATTAAGTGGAGAAAGAAACACATAGCGACACGACCTCCACCGGTCTACAAGCGATGCAGAATTCTAAACCCTAGTGCGTCATCATCGCGCGCGCATTGCTCGTCCATTTCATTTAACGAACAGACGAAGCCTCAACGAATGACATAGGTGTCTCCTTCGTCGGCATCTCGCTCTTATGAGCCGCCGCACTAGTATCAATTGATAAACTCCGCGCGCTCACACTACGTCGACTCGTCCCATCGCCACTTTCCTTTCGCTGAAAAACTTTCAAATACGGATACTCCGTCGCATTGAATACCTCCTTGAGGGCGTTGATGCCATCGACCCACTCGCGCGCACTTCTACCGTTACCCTCGAACGGGAGCTCAAGGTCTAATCCCACGATTCCTATGGAAGTGAGACCTCCACGAGGCTCAAACCGCATATCTTCATCGTCTCCATCGTCGAGCGCCTCTCCTCTTCGTTTCTTCGTTTCAATCTCAAGCGCTCGCGCCTCGGTGATCTGATCGCACTGTCGCTTGTACTGCTCTTCCGTCATGAAGAGTACGGAAAAACATCTGGCGCTCACCAATGATCGAATTTTTCTTCCACGAGCGCTCTTTGCGTTCGTACTCTCTCTCTCATCGTGCGCCTTTGACACGCCCAAGGTGAAATTCTTTGTGCCCAGCACGGCGTGCGAGATGTGTGAGATATGCATCGTGTGCAAAGGCTTCGCCTTTACACCATGCTTCTTGTGAAGCGTGAAATAGTGCTTGTATCCGTGGTAACGAATATACATCTCGTCTTTCCCGGTTAAACCAGCCTTCGAGTTTTTCGTGTGGACGAAAATTCTGACGCCCTCTAACAGCGCTCGCTTGAGTTCCTGCGCTCGGCGCTCGCGCTCGAGAAGCAACGTCTCACGAGCCAGACTCAAGTCAGATTTGAGGCCTGCGATCGTTTCCGTCGACGCATCACGTTCTCGTTGCAGCATGACGCGGAGTTTGGCGAGCTGAAGGACGTATTCAGCGGCCACGTCCAGCGTTTGCCACTTTGCGTCCGCCTCATTTGAGTCTATCCTCGTCGCCACATCGCTGCGCCATCTCGAGAGCGGTGAGTGTGGTTCGCCATCACTCGCCACATTCGGTTCACTGAGAACGCCGGAGGTTTCGTGACCTTCCAAATAATCGTTGTCGTCGTCGTCGTCGTCGTCGTCGTCGTCGATGTCGACGTCGTCGTCACCACCATCATCATCCGTATTGTCTGCACCGCTGTCTGCCTTACACCGCATGGGAATCGCCGATCGAGCCTTCGAGACGGCTGGTTTGAGAGGGTCCCAGCGACTTATCGGCGGTAATACCTCCCACTCAATCCGTGCTATTATCGGGACTTTCATCGAGACGCCATATTTTGATTTTTCCGCGTGAGATCCAAGAGAAAGCGACATGTAGTGCGTTTCACTTTCTGTTCGACGGTGCGCGCCAAAGACAGCCTCGCCCATGATGAAAATGTCTTTTCCAACAGGCGCCCTATCCATTACGCGCACGCGTACCGTGCCTAATTCCATTCTTTCATTATTATCGGCGTCTGTGGATTTCCAATTCGTATCATCGGGTAAAGGGAACGCGAGGGCGCCGCCGAAGTGCATAACTTTGTTGAGTGGTCGTGTCGCCGTGATCTTGCGCGAGCCGTTGTATGTAACTTCCACCCACGGATATCCAGACGCCTTACTCGTCGGGACTCCCTTTAACGTCATCACTCTGCACACGAGCGTACCCCCCTTGCCGAGGAAATCGGCGCTCGCCATTTTCTCCAAGAACTTACCCTCCACGTCCACATACATGCGCCTCGGTTCGAGAAACTTTTTGCAGAGCACGTCCTCGATTTTCCCCATGATCCAATCGTACAGGCCAGGAATATCGGAAATGGGTAATCCCACTGGACGAACGGAGACGTCCACTTTCGGTGCGCCTCGAAACGAGACGTCCATGCCAGATACGCCTGGCACACGTTTCGTGAGACGCATTCCCACCAATAGGCGGCCTCGCAGACCGAAATCCGTCAGGTGGATGGGAACCGTGAGCGACGGAATCGCCGCAGCTAACTTGATCTTTGTCACCAATCGGGCGTGCGCCGAGTCGCCATACCAATCGATGTCAAACTCGAATTGTAAGTAATCCAGCGTCGGGTTGTATCGCGTCGTGTACAGCTTGATTTTGGGCGGCATCGATCCAAGCGTAAAGTCGGCGAGCTGCACGTCCTTCACAAAGCTCGGCTTAGTCTCCGCCAACCCCTCGATAATTCCCTTGGCAATATCGTTCACCTGCTGATCCGCAAACGTGCCCGCGGTACACATCCAGAGATGTCTCAGTAAATGATTGATCCACTCCATCGCTCCATGTTCCACCGTGGTGAACTGTGAGTCGAGCGAGTGCTGCATCTCTGCGCTTGCGAGCGCTTTTCGCATGCGCCGCCGCCACGTTCGTCGCAGCCACGTGCCGACGAATAGCGCTGCAAGTAATGACCAACAGGCCGATTCCCACGAGAACGCAAAGAATGCCAGCATTTGACTCGCAAAGTCCACGACGACGCGCGGCGTCGCGACGCGCGACGTCGCCGCGTCCGTCGTCTGCGTCTTCGCCGCCTGCGACGTCGACGCTCTCAAAGCGTCGGTGAGGCGTCCGACAACGGTGCTTCCTCGAATGACATCATCCGTCGTCGCGCTCGTCATCGCACTCGACCGCTCTCACGAATCCAGCGCGAGTGACGATCGTTCGACCGATTGACGGGTTCACCAGAGGAGAGAATGCGAGGGACGGGTTCTCAAAGCCTCCGCGCGTCCAGCGACGCGCGACAACCGCGCGCGCGAGGTTCTCGATCGTCTCGCTCTCGGCGCGCCCCGACGCGTCCTCGCCGTCGGTCTCTGCGGTCCGTCGTTCGACGCGTCGTCGTCGTCGTCGGTCGCTCGACGCCCACGACTCGGTGTCGTGAAAAAAAAAAAAATCGGGTGCGTCCACAGACACCCGCGTGTGTCATATTATCCACGCCCTGCGCGTCGTCCTCGCGCGCGCGCGTTTACTTCGAGACGACCGACGACGACGACGATGTCCGCTCGCACCGCCCTGTTGGCTCTGTCCCGAAGCTCCACCGCGATGGCGCCCATGTGCTGCGGCGCCGCGTTCGGCGCGCGCGCGCTGTACTCCACCGGTACGCGCGCGAGGGAGACGCGGATGACCGACGACGAACGTCACCTCGACCGGGCGGTGATCCGATCGAACGCGCGACGATCGCGAGGCGAGGACGAAAGCGATGACGACGAACACGCGAACGCGATCGAGACGGACGTGAGAACCGCTCTCACGAAGCGCCGATCGAACGGTCGAGGGTGTCATCGGACGAGGCGGACGTTTGAACGTCCCGACGGTGGCCCCCACCCGCGGCTGAGCGACGGGCGACGGGACGCGGGAGGAACACGAAGATTGACGACGCGTTTCACCGATTTTCGCGACGGCAGTGATCGAAGGACTGAAGTACATGCCATCGCACGAGTGGGCGAAGGTTGAGGGCGATGTCGCGACCATCGGCATCACCGACCACGCGCAGGCGCGTCGTCTCGACTGGGGGCCTTGAATCGGCTCGATCTCGACCGAGCTCTCTGGCGCGATCGACGACCTCGCTCCGTCTCTCGCGCAGGATTTGCGCGCGAAAATATGAGTGATGAGCGACGCAGACTGACGATGCGATCGCGCTGCTCTCGATACAGGCTGAATTGGGAGACATTGTTTACGTGGAACTGCCGGAAGTCGGCAGCAAGGTTGAGGCCAAGTCGTCCTTCGGCGTCGTTGAGTCCGTCAAGGCTGCGTCCGACGTGTACTCCCCGCTCTCCGGTGAAGTTGTGGCTGTCAATGATGCCTTGAACGACACTCCGGGCATGGTTAACGAAAGCTCCTTCGGCGAAGGCTGGCTCATGAAGGTCAAGATGTCCAACCCGAGCGAAGTCGACAACATGATGGACGCGGCTGCTTACGAAGCCTCCTGGTGCGTCGATGGACCGAACGTGCGAGCCCTCTTCTTGAACACAACGCGCGACGCGGAATGTTTCGTCATAAAACGCCGCGATCGCGTCCATCGTGCTCCTTGAGTGCCCCCGAAGACTGACGCGCTCTCGATTTCGCTCGATTTCGCAGCCAATAAACTGCCCGTCTGCGTCCGTCCTGGACGCCGAACGCGCTCGCGCGCGCGCGCGCGATTCAGCGTTTACGACGATAAAAGCCGATGTGTAAAGAACATCGCGTGCGAGTATAGTAGTCCATTGTCGAATCGACGAAAATTCTTAACCGCCACGCGACACGCTCGCCCGGCGGAGTGCGTCCGTCATCTCTGAAGCCTCACTCTCTCGCGTTCGATGTCTTCTGAGACACCGATCGGCGACGGGCGCGACGGCGGCGCGCCATTCTCGCGCGCGCAAGACGCTGAGAGACGCATCGAATCGTCCGCCACGTCCACGTCGAGGATGTTTTCCGCTCGGGAAGGATCACCAGGTCGCACTGAGCACGCCTCGTCCGTGTTTGCGGCGGCGTCGACGAGCGAGACCGCGGCGAGGGCGATGGAAAGCGCGCGAAACGGTAAGGTTGAGCTCTATCCCACGCACAGGCGCGCGCGCGAGCACCGATGCAACGACAGGCTGGAGGATGTCGTCCAGGCGCTCTTCGAGGGCAATCCTCTCCTCACCGTGCCGCCGGCTTGGAATCTCTTCATGCGGTGCATGCGGAGCGAGGTGGGGAACGAACCGACTGATCCGTTTCTGTATCACACGCCGACGTGGTTGGAAGAGTCGCGGAGGAGGGAGAGGGGGAAGCGCGGGCGCGGGTGGTTTGGCGGCGGCGGTTGAGCGCCAGAGCGCCTCATCTTTATTAGGTGGCTCGAATGTTGCTATAAAATTCATAAACTCTTTAGCGATACCGACCGTACTGCTTTGCGTCTACCCTTCTTCGACGCTCTCCAATCTTATCAGTCTTGATGCGCCCGGTGCATCCTCGTCCGGTCGTAGTGCGACCGTTGTCCGATTCGCGCGCGCCGACGTTCTTCGGCCGCATCAAGACGCGCGAGCGCCGGTCCCGCATACTTGACGAGCGCGTATGTCCCACCCGCGGCGGCTGAGTACATCGCGAGTAAAATACTGACGACGACCGACACGGCGGCGACGACGGCGACGAAATAAAACGCAAACGCCGACCAAATAGAGGTGCTAAATGAACGAATCAGTCCCGGCAGCGCGATGGCGTACGAAAATATCGCGGTGAACATACCCAACGTGAAATTCGAGAGCGCAATCATGAGCCATCGTAGAAAAAATGAGATGAGAGACTCGTCGCTCTTGCTCCGTAAGATGAGCGATAATCCATCCCAGAACGTGTGTCGCGTGGCGAAAATTTTACCTCTCTCGTATGATCGCTTGAAGAGCGCTTTCGCGTCGCCAACGCCCAACTCTGACCACAATCCAAGCTCTGATCTCGCCGCGCGCATGGCCTCGGTCCGCTTCTTTTCGATTTCGGCCAATTTCCGCTCCGCCGAGTTTCGTCTCCGTCGCGCGGCGTCAACCCTCGCTCTGTGCGTCACCGTCGCGGAGAATCGCCAACCGAACGGCGTCGCGGCACGTAATGCGAGCTCAGCGTTTCGGTAATCACCCTCCGCCTCTCGCAAAGTCGCGCCCAACTCCTCGTCCATCGCCGAGAGCGCGGCGTCGTACCGAGCCCGCATGCGCGGCGTGATCTCCACCGGTGCTCGCGCGTAAAACGCGACGTACATCCCCAACACGTATAAGAACACGCTCATCGTCACCCTGGGCGTCTTGAGCGGTCGCCATCGACCGATGACGCGCACCAAGGAGCCGAACGACGACGACGACGATGCATCGTTCGCCCGCGCGAGCGCGCACGAGGTCGTCGCGGACGTCGTCGCGAACGTCTTCTCTTCACCGCGATCGCTCGTCATCGCGCTCGCACGTTCGCGCGCGCGCGAGGCGGGGCGCGACGACGACGACTGGGGTGCGCCGATGCGACCCGAGCATTTCTGCTGATTAATCTTTTTCTTAATCCCCCCTACGCCTCACATCGACGTCGTCAGTCGCGCACGCAGCGCTCGTGGACGATAAATCGCGACGGACGAAGCAAGGAGGTGATCACACGTCGGCGGTGGCGTCATGGGCGGTCCGGTCACCGCGCTCACCGCGATCGGGCGTCGCATGACGTACAAGACGTCGAAATGGATTCTCATTCAAGATTACAGATTGGCGGTGACGAACGTCGCGCTTCAGGGCGTGATCCTCTTTTACGTCATCTTCTCGCTCGTCAGTGGGAAGGCGTACCTGCAGACGGAGGTCCCGATCGGTCGAGTTTCGAATTGGGGGAACGGGAACGATAACTTCAACACCATTCAGACGACGACGTCCGAGCAGAACACGACCGGGACGAAGACCATTAATGGGAACAACTACACGCTCCTCCCGTGCGGCGCTGGAGCAGCAAACAACGCGCTCGACGCGTACAAGTTCAACTACAGCGCAGCGTGGGAGTACGAAAACGTAAAATGCGCGTACATGACGCCAGACGAGCTCATCTGGAAACGCGTCGACGGCGGCATCTTCTTCACGACGCACGTGACGCAAAAACACACGTACCGTGAACCAAAGGGGAGCGTCGAATGCAACGCGACAAAGGAGTTTGAGGCCGGGACGTCATTTCCAAGAGAGAGCGCTGCCGGGACGGCTGGTGTGTGCTACTATAAGCGCCAGACCGAGCTACTCGCCATCGGCGCGGAACACGTCAGCCTCGGAATCACGCACGAATTTGAGACGAAAGGTCATGCCGCGAAAATGCCGAAGACATATGTCAGACGCAGTGGCTCGACGGAGACGGTGCTCACGTTTGAAGCCGGTCGACCGATTGAAATGTCGCTGAAGCAAATACTCGACGTCGCGCAGGTGGACCTCGACAAGCGATACGCCGATCAGACAGCGAATATCGGTAAGGACGTTTCGGGTGAATACGGTCGAGGTGACGATGCCACGAGAACGCCCATGGTCCGCCTCGGCGGTGTGCGCATATTCGCATCAATCAAATATTACAACTACGATTTGCACTCGAAAGATGCGAGCGACACACTCTCCAAAGGGAACACGCCGTACGCAATCCTTGAAGTTGAGCCTACGTTCACTTGGACCGGTCTTGGTCAAGGAATATCGTATCGCCCGAGCGAACCGGGCGCTATTAACGATCCGATTGATCAACAAACTGGCAAACCGAAGGGCTACTTGATGGACATGTATCGATACGGAGTCTTCATCGACGTCACGACGAGCGGGATCGTTGGAGTGCTTAACGTGGTGTATATCATCAATGTCATCGTGAGTGGTCTCGTGATGTTGAAGGTCGCGAACAGTGTCTGCGACATGGTCGCGATGTACTTTTTGGGAGCGCGATCGCTCATGTACAAGTCGCACATGAATGAAGAATTGAACTTCGAGCGCGAGGCGGCAAAATTTGCCGTTCAGGGGATACTCTCGATGCCTTCGTTCAGACGAGGAGACGCATCCGGAGGCGGTAAAGACGGACTCGACATCGATGAGATTTATGAACTCGTCAAGGAGACGTTCCATGCATCAGACACCATGTCGGGTGACGGTCTTTCGAAGGGAGAAACGAACAAATCGACGCGTCTGCGACTATCTGAACAGGAGTGCCGGCAAATGGCGCGTTACATCGTTTTGGCGGGCGATCGTCAATCGCAAGCGAACTATCTGGCGGGTAAAAAACGACGCACGTACGAAGAGCTCCGTGCAGAGCGCATTGACCTGGCCGAATGGATTGAACTCTGTACCGAGGGTGGTATGGACACGGCGCTGTTGAAGAAACTCGCGCACGTCGCTCGAGAAGAAGAAGAACACGAAGAGCGTCGCTTGAATATTTTCCACGAGCAGTGAGTGACGGCGACGAGTTCTTCCTCGAGAACGTACGCTCGATCCATCCTTTTATCCTTAATAAATACACCGTCCTCGAGAACGTACGCTCGATGACGCCCATCATTAATATCAATACACCAATACACCGTCCTTGTTATCAAATTCATCGTATTCTTAATTCTTACTCGCAAACAACCGTGTGCGACGTACTCTCGATGAAAAGGTGAGGGTCTCGAAGAATTTTTTCATTGAGTCCACTTCGGTCGCACAGTGTTCCCCGCCAAACCGAGACACTCGAGCAAAAACGCGTGCTCGAATGCAGTTTGCTTGAAGTGCTTGTATCGATCGCTTGCAGAGAAGTGACCGGCACTCATATCTGTCTTCAAGAGAACTCGTGCGCCGTTCGTGACGGAGTCCCGTAGCCGAGCAGCGTATTTGGCCGCCTCCCAGTACGCCACGCGAGGGTCGTGGAGGCCGGCGGTGATGAGAACGTCAGGTTTGTCCGATTTCATGATGTTCTCCATCGGTGCGTACTTCATCATGTAATCGAAATAAACCTCCTCGTTTGGGTTACCCCATTCTTCCCACTCGCCCGTCGTTAACGGAATACTCGGGTCGCACATCGACACCATGACGTCGACGAAAGGAACGCCCGCGATGACACATCGAAATAAGTCTGGCCGCATGTTCAGCGTCGATCCCATGAGCATACCCCCGGCGCTGCGTCCACTGATTGCGAGCTTACTCGGCTGCGTCCATCCCGTACTGACGAGGTGCTCGGCCACGTCGATGAAATCATAGAAGGTGTTCAATTTGGTCAAGTACTTTCCTTGCTTCTCATACCAGTCCCGACCCAGCTCTCCGCCTCCGCGGATGTGTGCTACGGCGATCGTCACGCCTCGGTTCATGAGAGGAACTGCCGTGCGCATGAAAGACGGATCGTTACTGATACCATACGATCCGTAACCGTCGAGTAAGAGCGGCCCTTTGTGCGAGCGCATGTCCGTCTTGTACGCGATGGACACCGGTACCTTGACGCCATCGCGCGCGGTGACTTCTAATCGCATCGTCGTGTACTTCGTCGAATCGAATCCCTTCACCTTCGTCGTTTTCATCTCTTCCTTCGTCTTGGCGAGCATGTTGTACTTGTACACGGTTCGCGGCGATGTCAGCGAGGAATACGCGACGTATATCTCGTCTGTGTCCCACACTTGATTGGCGCTGACTGAACGTAGAGTTTCTCCGGCAACTGCGGGATAGACCAGAGCGTTCTCGCTCGGCCAAGTGGTCTTGTGCCATTCGCGAATAGTTCCATCGTTCGCGTCCAATTGAGCGACCCAAATAGCGCTGAAGCCATTCTCGCGACCTTCTAAGACGAGATGGTTCTTTCGAGCGAAGAAACTCTCGAGCGTTCGCGAGACAGTGTGCTGAAAAGGCGTAGCACCAGTGGCGTCGACGACCGGAATCCAGTTTTCTTCACCAACGGCGTCAGTGGGCGTCACGAGAAGCTCAAAGTTGATTTGACCGTGCCGATTCGTCAAAATGTACAACTTATCGCATCGATGCTCTATATAATAACGATGCTGAAGTCGGCGCTTTTGGACAAGTTTGGCCTCGGGCTCAGCCGTGTTGCATTCCAAGTCTATCAAATGCAGCTCGTTCGTTTCCGTTGACTCCGACTCGAGGACCAGGTAGCGATCGCTCGATGTACGAGAGAAGCCAACGTTGAACAGTGCGTCTGGTTCTTCGAGTACGCACAAGTCCTTCTCTTGCGCCGTGCCCATCGTGTGCCGCCAAATCTTGTGCGGCCGATGCGCTTCGTCCATTGTGGCGTAGTAGACCTCGCGGTTAACGCCTCCGCCCCAGCTCACGCCCCCAGCGACGCCAGTGAGCACGTCGTCGAGGTTCTTACCCGTCGTCAAATCCTTGAATCGAACTTCGTACGTCTCGTATCCGTTTGTGTCGATAGCGTACGCCAAAATGTCGTGGGTCGGACTCGGTTTGAAAGCACCGAGTGAGCAATATTTCATTCCCTTCGCCACCTCGTTCACATCGAGAACGACCTCCGTCTCTGCGCCACGTTCGCAGCGACACACGATGGGATACGACGAGCCTTTTCGAGTTTGCACAAAGTAGTCGTGATTTTCGCCCCAAGGGAAATGCACCTCCTCGTCTGTCTCCTCGATCGTACCGATGATCTCCTCGTACACTTCTTTCTCGAGCTTCTTCAAATGTTCGGTGTGCGCCTCCGTGTACGCATTCTCCTTTTCGAGATGCTCGAGCACGTCTTCTCGCCGCCGCTCGTCGTCCCGCAGCCAGAACAAATCGTCCACGAGCTCCTTCGGCGGGTTCATCGCGTTGGCACCGCGTTCTTCGTTCTCAACGACACCGAATCGAACCACGTGAGGCTCTCGTCGCGCGTTCGGTTTCAGCGGCGCGTTCGCGGCGTCAGCGTCGATCCTCGTGCTCGCCTCGTGCGCGCCAGCCGTTCGACCCGACGCCGCGGCGAGCCTTCGACCCTTGGGTACCCTCGGAAGTGACTTCCTGACGAGTAAAGCGACGGCGCCCAAAGCGCTGATACCGAGCGTCATCGCGCGTCGCGCGAACATCCGCGTCGTGAAGACGGTTCTCGCCGTGCCGTGCTCTGAATGTGAAGCGCGCGTGAAACTCGCTTGGATGTATCGACAGATGAATTACAATGTTTTTCTGTTCGCGTGGAGACCGTTATTATCATCAGCTCATTCATCTCTTCATCAGCCTTATTTAGCGTTTCGGCCTGGTAAAGCCTTGGCTTTTCTTGGTTCACACGTCTCGAGGTACTCGAGCGCATGCTTGGACGCGTCATCGAAGTTTCTCAAACGCTTCAGTCGCTCTTTGTCCGTTGAGCGGTTTAAGTCGTACCAAAATTTTCCCACCAGAACGCCGTCTCTTTCCCCAGCATCTTCATGGTCCCATCGCGCGAGTGTCCTTGTGTGTGTCTCTTGTCGCGGCGGCGTTCCTCGCCTTTTAGGGTATTTTGTATTCTAGACCCTAATTCTAGGGGAATTAGGGTTTAGGGTTTAGGGTTTAGGGTTTAGGGTTTAGGGTTTAGGGTTTAGGGTTTAGGGTTTAGGGTTTAGGGTTTAGGGTTTAGGGTTTAGGGTTTAGGGTTTAGGGTTTAGGGTTTAGGGTTTAGGGTTTAGGGTTTAGGGTTTAGGG